TGGATGAAAGCTTATACAGCATCAGATATGCTTAACCATGCCATGGCTGTCAGTTCTCCGCATTTCATAAGCATGTTATGCCTTGGTAGCAAAAGAGAAAGAGGTGTGAGTGTGTGTGTGTGTGTGTGTGTAAAGGTTCATTGCTGCTACAAAACAAACATTGGTATAGTAAGATGCTTTAATAAACATTGCCTCACTTTTGTGAAAACGGAGAGCAATGAAAGATAAAAAAAAAATGGAGAGAGGAAATTACCATACCATTCTTTTGTGTACTGTGTAGAGGACAGGGTAACATTATTTTGCGAGGACCAAGAGATAATGCTAGTTTCAGCCATTTCATTATTTAAACTGAACTCAGATCTCTCCAATATCCTGTTCTACATAATTTCTAGATTCTTCCGTCGTTCCTATTTCTTAGGCCAAAAGTATTGCAGGCTTGGAATTGTGTGAACTCTAGTTGCATCCAACTGGAACGACAGAAGCAGAGGTGTTCTTCTATCACAGAGTCAACATAGTTATTATTACTGACACTTTCATGGCATTTTCTTCTTAGTTCAAGCATAGGTCCTCTTTGCACTCAAGGACAGTTTCAGGCTTCAGAATCGCATCACAAAATCAGAGGTTCAAATTCCTTCTTAGAAAGAATAAGTGTCACAGAAGTCATCTGAGACATAATTTGTCTTATAAACAGATAACTTTCACTGACATTACATTCATGATCTCTCTTGCTATATATGATCTCATGATGTTCAGGCCAGCTTGTATGTTTTTTTTAATTATTATTTAATCTGATTATAAATATTTTGTCATGCAAATGATTAATTTCAATAAGAAAATAATATTCATCTCTGTATGTTATTTACTTCATATGAAAGCTATATATACCATACACACACATATGTATATGTATATTTGTGTATATATATGTATGTGTGTGTGTCTATATGTGTCTATATGTGTATGTGTGTATACACATATACATATACATATACATACACATATTTCATATACAAAAGACAAAGATACAAACAAATTGAAGGAGCCCCTATGGGATCACCACTGTCATCCGTCATTGCAAACCTGTTCATGGAAGAATTCGAATCCAGAGCCCTGGCTAATGCCACCCACAAACCCAAACTATGGTTAAGATACATCGATGACACATTTGTGATTTGGCCCCATGGAAAAGAAAACTTAAACAATTTCCTAACACACCTAAACAGCACACACCCCAAAATCAAGTTCACCATGGAAACAGAAAGAAACAAACAACTACTAATATATATATATATATATATATATATATATATATATATATATATATATACTTAAGTTTTTGCGGGTACTTACATGTATGGTATTCAGCTTTGTTGGGGTATTTTCCCACATCATTATAGTTGTGCTTTTAAAGCTGAAGCAACGTTTCGGCAGAATCTCATCTGCCATCATCAGGCTTCTGTACACAATACAGAATACACAATACAATTCTGTACACAATACAGAAGCCTGATGATGGCAGATGAGATTCTGCCGAAAGGTTGCTACAACTTTACAACTTTAAAAGCACAACTATAATGATGTGGGAAAATACCCGAACAAAGCTGAATACCACATATATACATATATATATAAACACATACATGTGTATGTAGACAGACAGACAGACAGATAGATAGTAGGATAATGGTGACACCCTGTGGTTGGAATAAAGTATGACAGTTGTCTCATTTCCTCATTTCATATTCAGTAATAAGTTATTCCGTATGTAGCAGAGGAAAATGAGAAGCTTAAATGTAATCAAGAGAAAAATTGTTTGCATAGGCATTTAGTTTTGAATGGTTCTTATATTAAGAGAAATATTGAATATATACTTAAAATGTACTGGCAGTAAAATATGATAAATCAGAATTTAATAATAAAGTATTGTACGTACAAGTGGATTGGATGACCTTCTTTCACCAGCAAAAAGGGAAACATTTTACTATTGTGGTGAGGCCAAAAAAGTCAGAGGAAGGTCTGGGGCAAGCTGAGTTGACATCATACATTACTGCTCTTCCAAAATGTAGGAGACCTGTCTCCATCTTGGAGCAAATAAGATATGATTGGCCATAAGAGATAAAAGCAATTCTGACCCAAATTCTCTAAGTTATGTCTATATACGAAATCTGGGAAATGCTCCAGAAGCTATGTTTTCTTCCTGGCTGGGAAGTGAATTTAAGATTTATTTTGCTTTCCAGCAGATGGCACTGTAACATGCTATCAATTAGATTTGATAATAAAAAGGAAAGTTTAAAATCCTGGATTCTTTTGATCCCCCATGGAACACACACACACACACACTCACACATGTGTGTGCACACACACATGCCTTCTCACTCCTATGAGTGATATATGTCTTCTTGAATCTTGAATCCTGTATCTGAGAGTTTAAGGGTTCCTATATAAATATTTCTTCATTCTTGCTACTCTCTTGGTTTTGTCATTGGTGTTTTCCTTTGAAATTTTAAAGACACGGTTAATTTCTTTTGTAGGTCAAGCAAAACATCCTTTTCTACGTCATTTTTTGGCCTGTCAATTGTATATCCACAACTATCTCTGCCTTCCTTGACAACATTTGTTAGATATCTGTCATTTCTTCAATAACAACTTTGGGGGCAAAGTCTATCCATAGAAATAAACATCATTACTGAAATTGTGGGTACTCTTTTCTGATTTCATTCTTCAAAGGTCTCCTATAATACTTTTATTGTTAGAACATTTTGCAGGTACGTAAATCTTTCCTCTATCTAAAAGAATTAGTTCCTTCTATTTGCCCAGTTTTTGAAATCATAAGATTGTTGTCTTTGTTGGATCTCGCAAAAAAACTAAACAGGATCTATTTCCTATGAGAAGCTGTTTGGTTTTTTTTTTGTAATTAATTACAAAATCTTGTTGTAAAAGTTTCAATGTTCCAGTTTTTATCTGACATAGTCTGTTTACAACTTTCTAAGATCAAAATCTTATTTACATTTTTGCTATTGGTTTCAGATTCTTTAAATTCCTGAGCTTATGATTAAATATTTCTTTCAGTCACGATTGAAGGCAGGCTCCTCTGGTGTTTTCAGACCTGTTGGCCTCAAGATATCTAACAGCTTAGAAGTAGCGAATGAGTAATTTCTGAAAATAATTAGAAAGTTGAGGTTTATGAACTTAAGCAGTTTTAAAATGCTTGACCATGTTGTGAGCAAGATGGCTGATCCCATTATCTCCAGGTGCTCAAACCTACAGAAAATCACTGTCTGAGGTCTCCTTGCAAGGAACAACCCCCAAAGCATATATGAGCAATCTCCCAACATTCTCCTTATCTGGAGAGGTTCAAAGGAACAGGTCTCCTCACTGGCTCTGTGGTTTCTGCTTTTGTAACGCTGTCTTCGGTTTGCCATGATTTCTCCAGAGGACTGAAGCAGAGGTGGTATTCAGCAGGTTTTGACCAGTTCTGGAGAACCAGTAGGGGAAATTTTGAGTAGTTCGGAGAACCAGCAAATACCACCTCTGACTGTCTACTTTACAGTATCTGTCATGCCCCTGGTGGAGACTGACTGAGGGAGAGGAGGAACAGCCGACAGGGACAGGGAGTGGAAGTGTGGCTCCGGAGGTTGTAGAGGAGGCTGGGGAAGGACAGAGGTCAGCTGAGCAGTCAGAGGAGGACCCAGGCCCATCCCCTATCCATCCTAGGGCACACAGGGAGGAAAGGATAAGGGAGAGATGTGGTCTACTTGGGAGGAGAGGGCCTTGATCCTCTTCATGGGCTGCAGGTGTGAGAACTGCATAAGGGTTTGGACCTGTGTACTGGCAAAGGCTGGAAACAAAGTGTGTTTTATTTTGGTCTGAAGTATCTTGGTTGGCATCCTTCCAACAGACTGTGCCTTTTTATGTCCTTGAATTTGGTAAATACTTCTCCTGTTCCATTGTGGAAATTTCATCATTGTTTGGTTTTTTTTTATTTCACCTCTATCTGCTCATTAAATTCGGACTGTATTGCTTTTTTTTGAAGACTATTTTTGAGTACTGTTTTATCTCCAACTGAGTATTATTAACAGTGGGGCCAAGTTGGAGGCATTAAAGGACATTTATTTACATTTTGGATTTTGTTATGGTTGTGATACACTTTGGGTCATCACAGTATCCTTCCCCTGCCACGCCCATCAAGCCACACCCACAGAACCAGTAGTAAAAAAAATTGAATCCCACTACTGGATTGAAGGATGATTTCCACTGAGTATTCATATTCTTCAGATAGAGGTATATGGGGTTCCCGTTTTTTATCCATTCTTTAGCGGGTGGCCATAATACTTTGTACATAAAACAAGGTTTCTTACTCTACATTTTTCTAAAACTATGATTATCAAGACTTGTCTACTTGCTTACAATAAATACACAAAACAAGATTTTTCTTTGCCAAAAGGGTGGAAAATTTAGAGAGGAAAAGGGTGTAATTTACAGGAATCCCCAATAATCACTTGCAGAGATTTCAGGTTTACATACATGTTCAGTAATTACTCAAAACTCAAAAGAAAAGGCGTTTAGTACATGCTCTGGAACAGCCATGCAATATCAAACGCGCCGTGAGAGAGGATCCAGGAAAAATCGCAGTATTCTTCATGGGGAAATGTGTTGGGGTGAGGGACTCCTGCTTAGGAAATCGAGCTTACTATTAAAAGTCTAAGGTTCGATCAGCTTTCCTCCCCAACAACCATGTTATTTTTTTTCTTCCAAAAAAAGCCGTTTTTCTTTCCAAAGTGTGCGTTTGTGTGTTGTGTGTATGTGTGTGTTGTATGTGGGGGGGGTGGGGGTGGGGGTTGAACGCCACGCGGTGGACAAGAAGACTACAGATGCTTTTCCCACAAGGATTCAGGGGGAGGGGCCTGGCCCTAGGCTCCGCCTTCTTCCGAAATCCAATCCGAAGAGCCGTGCTCCTTGCTTTCTTCCTTCCTTCCTCGTTTCCTTCGCCCCACGGCAGGGAGGGAGGATCAGCAAAGAGGGAAGCGCTGCCCATCTGGCGTGAGGGTTGGACGCGTCCTTTGAAGGAAAAGGAGCGGCTGCGGCGCACAAACCTTTCCCCGGCCGGGCGCGGCAGCGACTTTTGAAAAGCGCCGGGAGAAGCAAGTGAGCGAGACGGGCCTCCCAGGGCGCAGGTCCTGGAGACTATGGGCCGCAGTCGTGGACTGGGTGTCCTCCTGTTGCTGCCCGCTTTGTTGTCCGGGAGCTCGGCGGAGAAGCTCGGTAAGTCGGCCTGCCTGCCTGCCTGCCGGTTCGCACGTTTGGAATAGGAAAGGCTAGTGGAGCGAGGAGCGGGGAAGGAGGGGGAGGGTGTGAGAGACACTGGAGGTGGATGGACGCGCCCGCAAGAGGCATTATTCGTACGTGCAGGATCTCTTCTCTGTGGACCGAGCGAACGAGCACTTTTGCATTGCCAGATATTTCTTCCCTTTTCGGACGAACGAAGCTCCTTTTATCCTGGAGATCGTAAGAGTGTTCAAGGTTTCTAGAGGTCTTTGCCACCTTCAGCTTAACTTTGATCTCTGGGCATCTTTCAAAAACGTTGGAATTTGGAACGGCGGGTTAAAACCTGCTTTGTTTTGTTTTGTTTCGGTGCAACGGGCTGCTCTTTCAAAAAAAAAAAAGAAAAAATCTCGAATTGAGGCTCAACCGAAGGCTAGACGTTGTAGGCTGAAATAATCTGCCGGAGTTAGGATTTGTGTTGTTACCATACGGTCTGCAGCTTCTTCTTCTTTTTTTAATCCTGTGGTTCCCACGCGCATATAATTCTCTTTATACCCTGCAGCTTTCGGGGGATAAAACAGCTGAGTTTGTATCTATTAATAACAAGTTTCTGATCCAACTCTTTGAATTTCAGCATTCTGGAGGTAGAGGTAGTGAGGTAGCCATATTGAGCTGTGGGGTTTTCCTGCCTTACACATTTATTACCCTTTTCCCACGGAGTAAGAAAAATCAGCATCAGCATTCAGTTTCTAGTTTTAGAATACCGGCACAGTCATGGAAAAGATGGAGATTCCACCTGACTGCAAAAAGAGACTTGCACAGCTACAGTCTCTTTTCCAATCTTCCTGAGCAATGTGGAGAAAGCTGTGAGTGGAATGAATGGAGTTAGCACATTCATGTTTATGGATGCCTGAACAGGGTTGTGGGCCATGCTGAGATAAGATTCTGCTGGGTCTCATTCCAACTTGTGTATCTAAAACTTGATAAATACTGTGTTGAAATGAAACATTGCACTGATACCGATATCAACGCTGGTTAATTCAAGCACGTATTACCAAATGGCATTTTATCTTCTAGAAACTGGGTCTCATCTAAAAAATAATAACAATCTACAAGTGTGATTAAGTGTGATTTCCCGGATATCACGCTTAATCTTTAAAAAGCATGGTGTGTGAGATGTATTTTTTTAAGGTGTTTGGAATTTGTCACTTTTAATTTCTCTGGCGTACCTTTCAGGTTTTCCCTGCAAAATTAAATCTCAGATTGTGGACCTGTTTAAGCAACATGATTTAAGATTAGCAATTCTTTATTTAAGAAAAGCAAGCAAGCTGCTTGCTTTTCAACTTCAAACTAGTTTTTCTATAGCATAGTCTCAAAAAGAAATCCTGCTGTGTAGTAAGATGTACCCTTAATTTGCTTTCCTTTTAAAGGGATTAGCTTTGAGTAGTTATAGATATGTTCTTCAGGTGAACTTTGCTATTTGTAACTTGTGGGAATTTCCACTATCAGAACAACCAGTTGTAACTCAAAAATAGATGATCGGTGGATACAGGTTAGCACATGCAAGTGGTTCCCTTAAATGAAACTGGAAATGCAGTGTTCTAAAGTTGCTGACTTTTTGACATACAGGATGGTTCTTGTTTCCTATGAAGTTATAAACTTCCACAGTTTAAGAGGGAAGGCTGTCTTAATAGTCTGTTAATTAAGAAAAATAAAAATACCCAGTTGCAATAGTTAAACAAAAATATTGAAGGATGTATGTAGATGTCTTACATGATGGCCAAATACTCTGCAACAGTGGTTTTCAATCTTTTATTCCCCATGGACCCCCTTTAAATATCTTTTGTGGCCATGGACAGACCCCCAAGACTTAACTCAAGATTTAAATCATAAAATGTCTTAAAGCCTTCATGGACTCCCTGTGATGATACTGTGGGGCTCCTAGGGATTTGTGGACCATAGGTTGAGAACCACTGCTCTACAACAATTTAAAAGGGGAGATATTCCTGTTTGTTTTGACCTTTGGTTTGTCTAATATAGCTAGAAAACATGGCTTTGCAAATAGAACTTTGAGTTATAATATATTAGTTGATTTGGGTGATTTATATTGTTTGACCCTGTTAATCTACAACAGCTTCATCTGTTTATCTAGTTATAAGATTATAAAAGAACTATTTGGGGGGGGAGGAGAAAATACAAAAACCATAGTTTGGTCAATACATCAATTAGAACCTATTGCTGTAGTTTGCTTAAAAAAAAGAGTAGGGTAAGATTCTAAATTTTCAAGAAGATAATACACAAAATATGTGATAGGAAAAAATGTGTTTAAGGAAATAAGACAGCAGTTCTGATAAAGACATCTACAACTTAAACACAGAATTTTGCAAACTGCATTAGTCACCACGTATTGCAATTTTCAGATTGTATTCAGTGCAGCAAAGAAGTAATAGGTGTACAGTATGTACAATTTCTTAATAACTTTGTAGACTAGCTATATCTTAGATCTGTCTTTCACTTTGGATGAAACTAAGCATGAATGAAAACAGTCTTTTGTTTGTTATATCTTTTAAAAAGCAGGAAATATATTTATGCTGCAAAGTATAGCTGCCTAAGAATGAGTGCTGAGAGGTCAGTTGTTCCAAACTCAGATTTGTAATGAGTTTGGAAGGTGACCTTAGGTTGAGCAGTGCCTGTATCTCAGCTTCTTCCTCGTCAGCATTACAGGTGCATTGTTATAAAGAGTAAGTCAGATAATGTGATGTTATACCTTGTATTAAGATAGATAACCCCAAATATTTATCTGATGTGTGGCTTGATTTGAAATAAAATGGAAGATAGACTGATGAGCAAAGATTCTCTGTTATTTTTTGTGCTTACTAAGTAAAACACTAGTCAGAGTTAACTGCTAACCAGTAAATCAGAGCAACATGAAATAATAGCATTCAGAGTTGGAAGGGACCATGAGCATCATCTAGTCCTGTGATGGCGAACCTATAGCACATGTGCCATAGGTGGCACACAGAGCCATTTGTGTGGGCACGCAGGTCCCAGGCAAACTTACCTCACTGTGCATACACGCGCCTCCCAGCTGATTTTGGGGCCTTTTTCAGCCTGCCAGAGGCTTGAGGGATGCCTCTGCAGGCTTTGCATGTCAAAAAATAGGCCCATTTCATCACTTCCTGTATTTCCGGAAATATCAGAAGTGACAAAACGGACCCATTTTCCAGCCTGCAAAGCCTGCAGAGGCTTGCCTCAAGCCTCTGGCAGGCCGAAAAAGGCCTCAAACAGGCCAAAAATCAGCTGGGATGCGCAGTGCAGGCAAGTGGGTGGCGGGGGAGAATCACATGCGCAGGGGATTTATGGGGGCTGAGAGGTGGTATCCGGCCTCTTAAAAAACTTAACAGATAGTAGACCCAGATCCGTTCCACTGTTATACAGGTTATGTGTTATACAATATGATTTATTTCTAAGGTTTGTCAGCAAGATATAATGCACAATGGTTGATTACTATAATACTGGTTTCCCAATATATTTGTTTATTAATTAACTGTAATTTAGAAAATTAGTCCTTGTCAATTTTTAATTATTCTTACAAGGAATAGAAGGCAAGCCAGTGGAAGGAATCCAGTCAGGGTGAGAATTAACATTTTAACTTTAAGTGATCCTTCTTGAATTTCAAATATGTTAAGAACTGCTTCAAGTTCTTCTGTCTTACTGTGACTGAGAAAGAGTAAAAATGGTGCAATGTGTTGTATTATCTTGGGTAGTATCCCAAAAATAAAATTTAAGAAAAATATCCTGCATCATTGCTTTACATTTTAGCTTGTAAAACTGTATAAGATGATGATTGGGTTCACATATTGCACTAAGACATAATTTGTTTAACCATCACTTATTAAATATATTATAGTTAGTTGGATTTGTACAAGATACTAAATCATAAACTTTCATTTACAAAGTGTGGTTGTTGTATAAGATAGCAAGCCAAAATTTGGCATAAGAGCTGTGGTGGCACAGTGGTTAGAATGCAGTATTGCAGGCTAACTGCCTACAGTCAGGAGTTTGATCCTGACCAACTCAAGGTTGACTCAGCCGTCCATCCTTTCGAGGTTAGGAAAATGAGGTCCCAGATTGTTGGGGTCAATATGCTGACACAGTAAACTGCTTAGAAAGGGCTGTAAAGCCATTTTTATTTAATGCATCCTTTAGACCCAGCCATATTACCATGTGATGACCATCAAGAGACCGATTCTGCAAGCATGCAACCTTTGGTCAAATAAAGATTGCTACCTCCAGATATCAAATTGTTTGGAATATATAGTCCTGGTGTGCTAAACCATAGTTTAGCAAGTTAGAAGAAGAAGTAGTGCCCATCCTTCCTCTTTTCTCTTGGATGTTAATCTTGAAAATACAATTCTCTGTTTTATAACCAAAATAGAGAATTGTAGTTCAACATGACACCTATGTGGGACACAGAGTGGAATGAACAGTTTGCTTAAAATTAAATGTGTTTCAATACAGTAGGTTGAACTCTCTGACATAATACTGAAGAATTTACACAAGAACACTGTCCCCATCAAATAATTCCCATCTCTTTCTTGTAAAACATAGTAAGCAAATACTGTAAGAACGGTAGTTTCATAATTATTTTGGAAGCAAGCAAAAGTGAAAATCACTGGTCCTATTTTCTTTGGGCTGATGTTCCTTCCCTTTCTTCCTTGGATAAAATTCAGACAAGGAACTTTAACATTGCTGTGCTTGTGAAAAGAAAATGGGATAGAGATCCAATCTGAGGAACAAAATAGTAGAAAGAGTTAAGCCACAAACAATGCCATTTCTTGAGGCCTAATATTCTTTGAATTGAAGGTTCCACTCAGGAAAGAAAACTGGAGCTGTTTCCTGAAAGATCTGCTTGAGAATTTAACCCTTTAGCTTAGTTAACATGGAAGCCAAAGTAGATGAAACACCATGCTACTCAGCTGAAAAATTACTCCAAATTACTCCACCCACTTCCTATTAAATGCTGACATTATTTCTTTCGGTTATTCCATTAATTGAAGAAGACCAAACACAAACTCCTTGAGGACTTGCTTTTTGACATTAACAAGTGGGTGTTACACTTGTACAAATCTGAGCATTCAAAAGCCTTGTGATTTCTTAAAGACCGATCAGTTTATTATAATGTGAATATTAGCGGATCGCTGTCCAATTTAAATGACACTCAAGCATTTTCAGTTGAAGAAAAGAGATTTAGTGCATATATTATGTGTATTCATCTGGATCTTTTCTCAAAGTCAGGAATCTGTGGCAGCTGCTTGAAACATGACTGTTTTGAGGCTGTCCCAAGATCTTCAGGATGTAGATATCCCTGACTAAGAAACACTTCCACCAGAGCCAAGCAGAATATCTTCAGGGCTCACATGTGTCCGTCCAGCAAGCCTTAAAGCAACTCTGCCTATCTTTTAATCAGTTGTGGCTGCTTTGTATGTTTCACCAGCATTGCATTTGAAACCTGGGGCTATGTTTCTTTTTTGCCAGAGGAATCTTGCTTTTTCCCTTCATATAAATCAGCAAACTATGGATCAAATATCGAGATATATAGCAGTGGTAATACTTGCAAGCTTTCTCCCAATGCTACCTCTGCCCAAAGTAGCAACATTTTAGGTCATAACTTCCAACCTTATTTGAAATGTTGAGAGTATGTTGTGGGCACTTTCACCAAATACTTACTATGAGGAGTTGGATAGACAACAAGTGGGTAAGGTTGTTTCCCATCATTCTCTCAAGTTTTTCATGATGCTTTCTAGCATGTCAATGTAACATTATTAAACAGAACACCACATTATAGTCACCACCATTTTATTTTTCAAGAATGTTCTGAAGTGTTCATAAGGAACACCAGCACTGATATAAAGATATATCCTATACTTCCATGTGGGAAACATCAAAGCACTTCCATGGTGAAAGGATCAGCTGGTGACATCACAGTTGCCCAATAGTTGGGGGCTCATTTCATGTCCCCGTTAATGAGCCCACTGAAGTGGTACCTGTTTACTCAGATTTACATGCTTTCGAACTGCTAGGTCAGCAGTAGCTGAAGCAAATGACAGGAGCTCACCCTGTCACCCAGCAGGTTTGATAAAAATAGATGTTGTAAATCTATCATAAAGAATTGATAGATTGAGCTGTGAAGAATAGGCAGTCTAAGATAGTGACTTTCTATAATAGGGGTTCATGCTTGCTGGCATCCATTTTTCTATATACAATAGTTCCTTGGTCTATAACTGTTTTCAATGTGCTTTAAGTAATACATTATCTTGTGCTTTGTAGTATTTTGTGGCCTGCTAAGAGATCTTTTCAAGAAATGCCATGGGATGGGTTACAACATTACACCAAGCCATTGTTCTGACTGTAGTTCAGCATATTTTCTGTAGCATATTTTGTTTGTTATATATTTCATATGATTTTCAATATTTCCTTTGTATTTTTACAGAGAAGTAGGGAATTGTAAATAGTGTATAATATGTAATATTTTGTAAAAAATAATCATTTCTGATTTGTAGTAATGTACATCATACATCTACTAAATTTTAATATCCTCACTATACCTATAAATTACAAATAAAATCATTAGTTTGATGCTCAAATATTGTATCTTCCTTGCCTGAATGCTTGCCTAAAAATCATGAAATTAAATATTTATTAAAAGGCTTAAAATTAATAATTTCTATTATCCTCTCTTTCTTTTTATAAGAGATAATTGAGAACCTATTTTAAAAACAGATGTTTAAATCTAGGAGAATAGTAAGTGGGCAGTAACATTTTAACAGAGTTGAATGTGTGGTGCAGTGCAGGAGGTATATACTTAATTGATGTAGACTTAAATTTTCATCTCTTTCTTCAAATAGGTGATGGATGTGGGTCTATAGTCATCTACCGAGACAGTGGAACTCTGACATCCAAAAACTATCCTAGAACTTATCCCAATCATACTGTCTGCGAAAAGAAAATTCAGGTACCTCATGGAAAGCAGCTGATCTTAAAAATTGGAGACTTGGATATAGAATCCCAGAAATGTGAATTTAACTACCTTATCATCTACAATTCCACAACAGTATATGGTATGTAAAGATACAACTGATTTGTTAGAAAATGTAAGGCATTTTCCACAATGCTGTTGTCACTTCCCAAATCATCATAATTATTTTCTCAGAGACTCACATTCATCCCCACTGCAGCTCCCAAGTTCTTTAGATAAGCTGTCCAGAGCTCCCACAAACTGACCAATGAGGGAGTATAAAAATCCACACTCTTATTTTAATGTTTTCGCATCCTTATCTGCATTGTGTTTATCCAGGAGTTTGGGGTTTTTTTTCCTTAAAAAACAAACAAACCACTAGTCACTGAGTGGGAGCTGAGACATACAAGGGCACTGTGATAGTCTAGTGGTTAATCAGCTACAGGAATAAGGATTAGCTAAAGATTGGTAAGCAAGGGGAGATGGGAGTTCTCATCACTGCCTAGTGATTCACTTCTTCCTTAAAATAAAACAAAAAAAACAGCCGAAACACACAACTGAATATTTCTTCTGTGTTAGACTTATGGCACCTAAAAGCAATAGCATGTTAGTTGATGCAAGAAATGATGATTAAATTGTTTAGAGAAAAGGGTATGTGTATATGGATACAAAAAATAGTGGCCAGGTCATCACAATGATCCAACTGGCCACCCTAGGCCTAATTCTGTAAAGAAAGTGGAAGGTGGGATTTCTGAATCCAGTTAGAGCTGACGCACACCTCATATATACTTGTAGAAATGAGGTAACATCCAATAAGATGGAACTGATGACTTCAGTCTAGACTGAAGTTGTGATGATCAAGGAAAATAGGTAGCAGATCCTTATTCTCATATGACTAATAGTCATCATTTTATCATGGGTTTTTCCAAGTTGTGTTGTTTTTACATAAACTGCCACGCAGTGATTAGTATAACAGAACAATACAAGAATGTTCTGTTGCATTCTAATCTGTCATTTATGAAAACATGTGACTAGTCAGTTCTAAACACACTTCCCAGAGAGCAATTGCCATAGGAAGTAGCTCTTACTTTTAAGTGGACATGGTCAGATTTGTGTTGTTAAATGTTATAAAGAATAAAAGCTGGGAATGAGACCACCTTCTGAACTGTAGAGTTGCTTTTATTTTGAATTAGTGCTTGATGGCTAAAGAAAGATTGCGAGAATATCTGATTATAGAGGATTAAATAGGGAAAATGGAGGATTTCCTAATGTATATTATATGGAATATTGAAATTTTTTTTGCAGAAGATTAGAATTTTCAGGTTACATTTATATCATTCCTGCATGACAGAGAAGATGGGGGATACATTTGTCAAGGAGTTCTGTTCAAATGGCTGTTTTTATGCAAAGCCTTGGATTCTGAATGCTGTTCAAATCTAAATAATTGTATATTTTAACACCATTGTTTTCCCCTTATTAAAAGACACATAATTGTTCTGCTGCTATGATAGTAAAAATGTACATTTTTATAAGACAAATATTTCTCTCTAATAAATATAACAATCCTGACATTGTTATGGAATGCTAGGCTTTTTAAATGAGGAGCTTGGAAAATAGACTTATTTAAATACTGTCATGGTCAGTACAAGAAAAGAATTAGGGCAATATTGCAGTGTATAGAAACACTCAAATGAATGAAATATTGCTGAATTATATAACTTCTTAACATCATGAAAATCATTCATTTGGCCATTTAGTACAATACTGTCTTCCTTGGCAGTGCTTCTCCAAGATCTTGAATGAAAGCTTTCTTCAAGTTCTGCCATCTGAGATTCATTTAAATAGAAAGACATGTTTAATTCTGGGACTTTGTCACATGTGCTTTAATATAAGATTTTATTACAGTACTTTTCAAATGTTCCTTCAACAAGAATTTGGGTGTCAGGTTCCACTTCAATAAGCTGAGAATAACCACAAACACACTTTGCTTTAGTGAAGTGTATATCTCCTACTTGGAAGTGGCACGATCTGACCAGCATGTAATGCAAATTTAGTCAGGACTGTTTGCCTAGTGCTCCCCTAGTTTAACCCGCGCAAAAGCCACCCCGCCTTCATCACACCCGATGATTAACTCCGACAGCCGAATAAGGGAAATGCCTTCTGCCAAATGAGGGAAACACCAGCAGTCTCTGAATTAGTGCCTCTCAGCTGTTTGCAATTTTCATCTGGCTCTCCGGCTCCTCAAGGTAGGTAGCAAGTCATCCACCTCCCGAAATGGCAGCCCGTGTGACCCAGGACTGACATTGGGTTCTCTGAACTAGACACAGTAATACTCTTCAGCTTTCCTGGAATTAGACCTGTATTATTCACAACCTTCATAATGAATTATTAAGAATTATTTCTTTACCTTATACAGTGGAACCTCGGGTCACACCGTAATTCGTTCCAGGACTTTGGTCACAAACCGATTTGGTTGCAAACAGAAGCTAGATTGACTGTGCATGCACCTACAATTCTGCACATGCACGGAAAGGGAAATCGCCATGGCAAGGAAAATCGCCGTGGCTGTATTTGATCAGCACCCAAGAATCTGTTCGTGAACAGAAGCAACAATTTCCCCAAATTTTTGGTCGTCATCCCATTTGGTCACAAACAGAAGCGTTCATGACCCGAGGTTCCATTGTACTTCTTTTTTTACAGAATTGTGAACAGTATTGATCTAGTGATTCTGAGACTTTTGGTTGACTTCTTTCACTAGTGCAGGCATGTCTAATTTTTTTTGGTGCAGAATTTCTTTTACGGTATCTGGAATACAGTTCAATAAGTTTCCTAGCCATAGACCAGTCAACCCTTAGAATGAATCAGCAGTCTTAATTATTGCACACTTGAGAGCAAGACAGGTCATTGGGAAATATAAGAGATACTAGAAGTATCCCTGTGGGAAAATGTCTGGAGGCAAATTTAGTCTGGAAAAAAAAAGGAATGGGGAAAGTGTTTATTTCTCTAGTAACTTCAAAATACAAAAATAACCATTTTTTTCCATTCTATTTTTTTAAATATGTTAAGTGTTAATTTCCAGATCATGTTGCAAATTTATTTTATTAAACAAATCAATATATGGCTAACCATCTACCAAACTCTTATATGTACATATAAGAGTCCTTGATTTACAATCATAATTAAGCCTGGAATTACGATTGTAAGTCATGGCAGATCAGCATGTGAGACCTAATTTTTGTTTTTAATTTTTATTGGTTTTTGTGACAAACATAGACAAACAAAACATAAAAACATCAAGCCATCTTCCATATAGATAGATACAGTGTGTCGGTTGGTTTAGAAATTGTTTTGTGCTTCCATTTCCTAGTCTTCAATTACAATTACATTGTATATATTCTCATATTTTCAATCAAATATTAAATACATTAATATCATTGTTAATCAATCATTTGACTATACTTTTATTCATTCACGTTTTACAAAATAATCCATATTTTACTTAAATTTGTTTTATGACAGTTCATATTATCATCTCAAATCTATCCCACAATCATTTTGTAGGTATAATAAGAAAAAAATACATCTTTATATATTTATTATTCTCTAAGAATCTACATATTTCATTTCCGTGTTTTATTGTTAACCATTGATAGAATAGATCCCAAATTTTATAAAATTGTATATCATCTTGTTCTCTGATTTCAAATGTCAATCTACTCATTTCAGCATATTCCAATATTTTCTTAATGATTTCCTCCTGTAATGGTATTTTCTCATTTTTCCAGTTTTTGGCAAATACAATCCTAGCCGCTGTTAATACATTTACAATCAGGTATTTCAATTCTTTACTATATATTTCTGGTAAAATTCCCAATAAGAATATCTCTGGTTTCAAGTCTGTATGCTTTTTTGTCATTTTTTCCAACCATGTATGGATTTTAGTCCAATATTTTTTAGCATCCGCGCAAGTCCACCACATATGGTAATATGAGCCAGGTGTCTGATGACATTTCCAACATTTTTCAGATTTGTTCTTGAACATTCTTACTATTCTTGTCGGGGGGAAATGCCACCTGTAAAACATCTTATACAAATTTACTTTATATGCTGTTGACATTGTCATTTTATAATTTTGAGACCACAGTTTTTGCCATTTCTCTAGATCAATCCCATATCCAAAATTCTTCCCCCAAGCAATCATTGTTTCTTTAACTTCTTGTTCTTCTAGTTTAATTTCTAATAAATATCCATACAATTTTTTAATCACCTTTTCATCAGTACCTGTCAAAATCTTATCTAAATCAGTCAGTTTATCATAGAAACCTTCTGTTTTAGAATCTTTATCATACCTTGAATGTATTTGCGCATATGAAAACCAATTCATCTTTATACATTGTTTCCTCTAATTTTTGCATAGATTTAAGTTCACCCTTTTCATTCAGTATTTCACCATATCTAACTGTTTGTTCCTTTTTATATATTATAGGATAAGAAAATGTTTCAATAGTCGATAGCCAGACTGGAATTTTCAAATAACATTGTCTTTTAGTCTTCTCCCAGTTTAATCACAGAGACTCCCATATATAATGTCTTCTAAAATACCCCTGTGTTTTAGTTCCTTTATACCACAGAAAAGCATGCCACCCCAACAACAGATCATGTCCTTCTAATGTCAACAATCTAGTATTTCTTAATGTTATCCATTCCTTAACCCACATCAAATTTGTAGCTTGGTAATACAACTCCCAATTAGGCAAACCAAATCCTCCTCTTATTCTGGCATCTTGCAAAAGTTTTAACTTTATTCTCGCTTTCTTACCTTGCCATATATATTTCAACACAATTTTATTTAAATCTTCAAAATAATCTTTTCCAAGCCTAATTGAAATTGTTTGGAACAAATATAAAATTCTGGGTAGTGTATTCATCTTGATTGTTGATATTCTCCCTATTAATGACAGTTGTAAATTTTCCCATTCCGCCAAATCTAGCGCTATCTGCTGCTTAAGTTTAATATAGTTATTCTCTTTTAGGGTACTACATCTGATCTGTCCATCTCCCATCTCAGCATCCCACTTTTATCTTGTTCAACCACAGTTAATCTGCTTTCAATATCTCCAATCTTCTTATCTCTTTGTTTATCTTCTTCTTCAATTGTTTGGAATCTCTCATCATACTTCATCATCATTTGCTGAATGTTCTCCACCTTTTCATCAGTTTTTCCTGTTCTTTGTTCAATGTTCCCTGTTCCCTTTTCAATATTCTCTGTTTTATTTGAATATTTTGAATTCCTAGCATAATCATCTGCAGGGTCACTTTTTCCTGTTCTTTTTCTTGCTGTAACATTGTTTGTATTGAGAGTTGTCCTCCAGATGGTGAAGAGGAAGAAGTAGAAATTGAGGAACCAGTGGCTGTTAGTTTCCTACTCATTTCAGACAATTCAAAATCTTCAGGTTCTTCTAGACCTTAATCCACTTGTGAAATAATCAATTGTAATTCCAAGTAAAAATAGTGGAGAAAAAAGAAACATAATAATAATAATAATTCAGTTTCTTGTATACCTTAATCCAATCGATTGGTTAGATAGCAGTAAAAACTCAAAAATGGAAGAAAAGACCATAAACACACACAAAAAAGAAAAAATCGTTAAATCCTGAAAAAGGCAGAAAAGTAAAAAATAAAAAACTAAAGAGAAAAGAAAAGTTCTTCAGGTTCTTCAACACCTTAATCCAATTAAAAAGTCTCAGGTATAAAAGGATGCATAAGAAAAAAAAGAAAGCCACAAAAATAAAAATAAAACCAATATGGAAGGTAAATAGAAAAAAAAGATACAAGGGAGGGAGAGAGAAAAAAGAAGAGACTACTCCCTTAAAAAGAAAAAAAAAGGAAGGAAATCATTAATACTAAAGCTTTTCTTTTAAAATAAAATGCAAATGTAAAAATTAGACTTCAAAAACAAAAAGAAAGACAAAAACAAGTTCCAAAAGGCCAAAAATCCAAATAGCTATTACAAAAAGTAAGCTAGTAAGGAGTGGGTTTGTTAAAGTAAGAAATAGCCCAGAAAAAATAAATAAAAAGAGCACACTGCACCTTGTTTGGTTATCCAAGGCTTTTGTTAAAATTTATAACTCTCTTCTCCAGAGTCTTATCACCTCTTTTTTCTGTAACACCAGACTGCAGCTATTGATAGAAAGCCAGAAGAGCACCTGCAATAATACTATCCCATGCTCTTCTCTCTATCTTATCAAACAGGCAATGTCCTTGAAAAGAAGTCTCAGTTCTTTCTCAGCTTTGTCTAGTCAAGAAAAAAAAGAGATAGAATATTTCCAAGCATCTAGTTGGCAGTGTTACAAAGTTTCTTCTGCTTTCACTTTTCCCCCTCCTTTTCCAAACAAGATATAATAAAAATGAATTAAAAAGGGAAAAAGATATTTAAAAAGATGTTTAAAAGGGATTCTCTAGCCTAGACTATTATAAAGTCAAAAAGGAGGGAAAGAATAGGTGGAAGAAGAAAAAAAATCAGTCCAGTTTCAAAATATAAAATCGTGTAGAAAATCCAGCAATGAGAAAAAAATAAAAATATTACTTTGACTTCCTGTTTAAAATCACCGCTTAATCACTTCTGTCAAAACTTTTGCAGATTATTTCTTTTCCTTAGGGTGTCGTTTCAAATCTTAAAGTAAAGAAAAAGTTCTCACCAAACAGGCACACTTTCTCTTTCCATTCTCTTTCGTTTCAGAGCTGTCCCAACTTCAGCAGCTTTAATGGCTGCCTCTTTGCCGCTGGCAAAAAAAGCTTCTCCTGGATCTACCCGGGACTTTGCGGTGTCCCTGGGATCGACAGGATGCGCTCTTTGCATTCACCGTCTCTTCGGGACGGTTTAGATCTGTTTGGACCGTCCAGGAGCAAAGATATAATTTTGTAACCTTTTTTGCAACAGTTGTTAAGTAAATGTCCAGTTATTAAGTGAATGCCATAGTCATTAAATGAACCTGCTTTCTCAAATTGGCTTTTTTTTTTTGCTGGAAACTAGCAAAAAATGACAAAACTCATAATCACATGACTGTGGGATGCCGTAAATCTCTGCTGGTTGTCAAGCATTCCATATGCAATCATGTGACCTTGGGGGAGTACAGCCATCAGAACTTTGGGAATGGGTCATAAGGAATTCTGGAGTGGCCTGTCCTAACTTTGAATGGCTGCTAAGTGAAGACTAGCTGTCAAATACACTGGTTAAGATCTGATAAATCAAACCCTGGATGATTATGAAGGACAGTCAAGCTGGGGTATTTCACTGTCTCCAATGTAATATTATCATTTTCATGAAGAATCTAGGCTGCATCTGGAAGCTTCCTTGATTTTACTGTTTAACACTCCAGAGACTTTTATGATCAGTATTACTTTGTTTAGTTTATCTTGATGAGTCAGTTGCAGGCCTTTCTGCCTTCAATTGTCATATTTTTAAACCATAACATTATTTTTGTTGTGGTAATATACCTAGAAGTATTAAAAGCAGAAGGCTGGTAGAAATGGTTTCTAATGATATAAAACACTTTGGAGTATAGCAAAACCTGCTATGATTATGCTTCACCACATATCTTAACTCTCAAAGCAAGTAAGAACAATTTCTGATAGGCTGTGTAATTCAGGCCTTCTATCAACATAATTCAGACTTCCTCCAATCTGTCTTTTATTAAAATAAAAACTCTTAACTATAATTACATCCTGCAGTGGCTCTTTTAGCCTTAAGGAATGTTTAAGATCTTAGTAATTTAACAGGAGACAGGAGACAATAATTCCTAGGTGTATGCAAAATGCTTTGAATTCAAACTGTTTTGAATTTGAAACATCCTATTATGAGTTTGAAGCCCTCTGTTTTGGATGTGAACTTGATTGTTGTGATCATTTTTAAGGATTTTACATTCAGAGTAAAAAGATTAAACCTTTAATCTTCTAACACTTTCTTCGACCTCGAGGACATCAAATCTTACAGTAAAAATACAGAATTCTCAATAAGTGAAACTTACAAAAACCTGAATTACCTGAACCTGAACTTGAGGACATTGTAATCCTCTTTAAAGTTTATACATTATAGAATAACATGACATAAGAGATTTTGGATCTAGAATAATACTGTTTTACGTCCCCCCACATAATGTTAATTATCTTTTACAATACTATGGATTGCTATTCACTCTCTTTCTTTACTTTCTTCTATCAGTAGATTTTCTTTAATTTTTTCATTTAATTTTTACAATTACAATGACCTCCAAATTGCCCACTTCTTTCAGTTGAGCATTTCCTGTTGTTTTCCTGTTGCTTTCTAACAATTTTTTATAATGCTTTGAGGAAAGCAATGCTGCATTAATTATTAAAAATTATAGTTAGATAAAATGGTGAACTAAGTCAGTAAAAAGCATTTCTAAATTTTCTAAAGAATTCAGATAAAAAAAGTAACAGCTTAAAATGTTTTAATTAATGAAATTGGTTCCATTATAATGCTCTGTTGTTTGGATCTAAAAATGTTTAGTGTATTTAATTTCCAATAAAAAACAAAATTGTTACTGAACTTTTAATAAACTATTTCTCAAAACAGGGGAAGAAAATTAGGAAAAGGATTACTGTTTTTGTTTTTAATAGAAATAACTAAATGTGAATATAGTTTGCAAATACCTAATAGTGCTTTATATATTAATGTATTTAGAAGATTTATATGGCTCTTAAAATATGCTTCTGGGCAGTTCATAGCAGTAATAAAACTACAAATCATAAAATCATAACCAAAACTAAAAAAAATCATACACTAGGAATGCATTTATTACAGGTTTACATATTTATATATATTTATATATATTTGTATTTATCACATACACTGTATTCAGTCCATAAATTATAAGCCAGCTCTAATTGTCAGGTTTTGTTATTTACTGCTCTTTTAAGAAAGCTATATTTTGAAAACCACTGAATTCTAGTTTTGTACAGTACTTAAAACTAAAATAATCTAAAATGTTAATATTAGTGTTTCTTTTTTATTGAATGCAAGGTGGCGAGAAATTAGTTATTTAAATAGCTTCAAAGATGACAAGCCAAATATGCACAAAATTGCACTTAGTAAACTCAGTTCTATGGATTTTGTGTGCGTGTGTGTCTCTCTGTTTTATGGAACAAGTCTCCAATTTTACTTCTTCTATTTTTAGGACCTTATTGTGGCAACGTGCCCATCCCCAAAGAAATCATCTTGGATTTTCATGAAGTAACCATTCGCTTTGAGAGCAGGTCCCATGTATCTGGCCGGGGCTTTCTCCTGTCCTTCACCAGCAGTGATCATCCAGGTAAAGTGGAAAACCTCGAATGAGATGAGCTGTCTAGGGAACAATGACTATAAAACCAGCTGGTCACTGTTCTCATTCCTTAGTTTTGGGAAGCAAGGATAGCCTAAATGCTAGTAATCTCTAATCATGATGCCTTGTTTGGCTGCCTGCTCATCTTATGCTCCTTATGTCAGGGTTCCAAATAATAGACCCATAGCAAGCAAAACTCTGAGGCAGATGAATTCCTCAAAGAACAGCTTTATTGGATATATCATATTGACACAGATCTGGTGAAAACCGACTCTGAAGGTTTTTATGGTTTTCACCTAATTAAAAATAAAAGTTTTTCTTCAACCCCAAACAATCAGTCACATGGTCCAGTCAAGACACTGACTGGTTGCCTGGTGACCTTACTCCTCCTTCCTCGGGCCAGATGTGAGAATGTCCTTGTTTCCCAAAAGGAAGTATTTTATTTTGGCTACAAAACCCCAGCTATCTCTAATTCCCCACCCCCAGCATCCCTCAGCTCCAGTGTGGCACCATTGAAGTTCCAACATGGCTTCAGTCTGGTCAGCTTCAGGGTTAACACCATATGGAAAGGGGAAGGTGGCCAAATTGCAGTGAGAGTGCCTTCTGGTTAGCATGCCAAGCATTCTGAACAGAAAGGAGAAGCAAACAGAGGGAAATTACCTTTATCTTGCTATTTCAGTAGTAATGGTTGCAGTTAGAAATTGTTATTGAAAAAAAATCTGTGTATTGGCATGAAAGAATGTGAACCTCTACTCTGTTGCAAAGTTGTACACAAAAATCTACTTTTTCTTGTACTTGATTTATAAATAGAGCATATAAGTCTTACTGGCTTATCATGCCATGGATAAGACAGTTCTTACTAAACTAGAATTTCACACAAGTAAATTATATAAATTCTGATATTAGGGTTTAAACAATGATGCTTTCCTCAAAACATTTGTTAAATTGAAGTTTTGCCATAAGTATTTTTGGGGGGAAACGTAGATCCAATTCAAGAGATCTAGGAGAAGGATGTGGAAGGTAAAACAAGGATTATGAAGAGAGAAACAAATGTTGCATGGCTTCTGTGGATATTAATTCTTCTTAAATGACACTTTAGCTTTAATTGATTAAGTCTTTACGTATGGAGTTAACTCCACAAGTACCCTATCTTCCAGATTGAGAAATAATTTTTATTTTGAACAGATCTAATCACATGTCTGGAGAGAGGCAGTTACTACACAGAGCTGGAGTATAGGTAAGTATAGGCTTAAGAGCTAGACTCTCTGGCTGTCAAGTTGCATCTTGCTTGTAACATATTTATTGCTGCGACCAGATAATAGATATGACCATAAGCCAGGAAGCCTATCGCCAACCACAGGAATGTGTTTTTCAGGAGATACTTGGAGGCATCTGCCTATGTGATTATCTACTTGATGCTTATCTGAGTGAGGCAGTAAAGACTTCTTTGGGAAGATTTTACATTCCAATGCTGCACTGTACTAATATATAGTATGGTGACTTGTGATGCCAAAATAAATCGGGACTGTGCTTTTGGTATTGGGGATGTCTGGCTCCTAACCACAGAAAGAAGTATCTCATGTAGTAGCTTTAAAAATAAAGGCATCCAAGTAAGAAAGAGTTTCAGAAAGAGTGAGGATGGGTATCTTTTTTAGCTGGACTTGGAGTCATATGACCACGCTGTTATTCAGAGCATGCATGCTTTGTCCACACCCAGCAAAATCTTAGAAAGGATGAAGGAAAATTGTAGACCACGAAACAGACTCTCAGGAGTCATCTCTTCTTTTTTTTGCTTGTTTTCTCCAAATTCATTGTTGTAACCTCCAGAAATAGCTGTGTCTCTGATAGCTGCTGTTAGTGATGAAACAACAGCATCTTATCCACACCTGTAAAAACTGCAGAAACACTTTAACATACTGTATGTAAGACAGAGCATTTATTTGTTGAAATTTGAAGTTGCCATTTGTTTGACCATTCTGATACATAGTCGAGGTCTTTTTGAAGGGTAGCAGTATTGCCTGTGGATATGTATGTATCCACATATATACATACACACATATACATAATACATACATACATACATATATGAATCTTTGGTTATTCGGGTTTTCTCCCGTGTAAAATTGAAAGTATCTAGGCGACGTTTCGATGAAATCTCATTCATCATCTTCAGGCTTGTGTCTTCGGCTTTGTGTTTCTCGGAATAATGTGAGCTTGCAGCCAATAGATGTAATCTTCACATATCATTTCTTTTAATCCATTACTCCGAGAAGCACAAAGCCGAAGACACAAGCCTGAAGATGATGAATGAGATTTCATTGAAACGTCACCTAGATGCTTCAAATTTTACGCGGGAGAAAACCCAAATAACCAAAGATCCACATACAAATACCCGCGCAAACCTCAGAAATATAGATATGTGTGTGTGTGTGTGTGTGTATGTGTATATATATATATATATATATGTGTGTGTGTGTATGTATGTGTGTGTGTGTGTGTGTGTGTGTGTATATATATATATATATTTATTTTCATTCTGTCTCACCTGTGACCACGAGGTGAGAGTCCAAGTTTCCAAAGGAATATAAATAAACAGACAGGACCAGGAACAACAGAGTTAAATTGCTTTGGCTGGAGAAGTCCTTGGCAATCTTCCAAAAGCTGCCTGCCAAGTCTGATAACAAAACAAGACCATAAATCAAAGGCAAACGCCGCACAGAGAATTTGTCAAAGCTTCTATCCCAAATAAACAAGTTGTCTCGAAGGAGGATTCAGAGCTAACACGCCTCCTTTTATTCCCTGAGGGGCGTGTCAGTCTCTCATCTCAGTCCCTGATTTGACATTTCCTTTTACGTTGCATTTCACGTCTATGTCTACGTCTTTGCCTTGCATCAAACCAACATTCCTCAGTTTGATCCTCAGCCAGAGGCTCTGCTATGCTCTCCTGATTATCTGCCGACACCTGAGGCACAACCAGGGAGGAAGGTCCTGGGGAGGAAGATGATTCCGAATCCTCCAGCAAAGCAGGCTCAAACCTCAGAGCCAAATCCTCCTCTTCCTCATTGCTTAAGTCTGTATCTTCTAACAAGGCAGGCTCAGACCTCTGAGTCACAACACACACACACACACACACACACACATAATATATAGTGGATTATAAAACAAATCTATGTACATAACACCCAGCTCAAATATGGCAACAAGAAACAAAGAACATGCATTCCAGTTGCTGCTATTGTGGGTGTTTATGCTATTCCATAGTGTGAATCAACTGGAATTTTTGAGGGGGAAGGCCTTGATCTTAGCATCATTTGTGTTTATGCCTGTATTAATGAGTGTATGTGCATACTGCGCACATTATTAATCTCTACTTCAAATAATGAGTCCTCTTTTTTCCCTGGTAGCAGGTACTGTCCTCCTGGTTGCAGAGATATAATAGGAGATATTTCTGGTAATATCATAGAAGGCTACAGAGATGTAAGTACCTCAATGTAAGAGCAGATTTAGAAGAAAAAAGTGGCAGTGCTGTTTTCTAGATGTTTTCAACCAGCTAATAAAACATTTAACTTAAGTCCAAGTCTGTACAATAAATTATTATGCAACATGGAGCATATTAAGATCTGAATATAGTGATATGAACAGGTGCAGATAGTCTTGAAAAGTCAGGCTTAACAATGAGAAGCACATAAAGTATGCTTTTTCGTTTCATTAATATAGTTCAGGCCAAATGGTTGTTAGAACTGTTTTTCTATTAAACTAAAAAAAATCTATCTGTTATGATCTGAAAACTGTTTTGAAAGTTAGGTACAGTAATATATTTTGCAGGGATTTATTGTGAATGAAGACCAGGAAAACCACTACCTTAGGCTGCATGAATCATAAAACAGTTTATGGTCAGTGTAGGAATCCACTAAGTTTCTTCAGCAGGTGGCCATCCAGCCTAAATAGCTCTGCTTGCCCCTGCTTCTCCATGTTCTGCTGGTGGTCTAGTAAGAACTCTAGATCCTCCTAGGATCCTTATTGCCCAGCTGGTGTCTCAAATCCTGTATCAGAGGATCAGCTACAGAAGGCACCATGGGCACATTTAAACACCACTCTATTGGATTTAGATGAAGGCTTAGGTCAAGGTTATTTTGAATTTTGATTTTGCCGTCATCTACAAATCTGATCAGCCGCCTTTCCGTGATATCCTCCAGATCATTTTGCCGAGGTATCTCAGGGTTGCTCAGTGGAGCAAAGTAGCACTGCAAACCTAAGAACAGGTTCTGTCCCATTGCCTCTAGTTGATGCTTTGAGACTTTGTGTGTTGTTTTGTTTGAATGAAAATGTCATCTTCCACATACGAACAGAACAGCCAGTTAAGATGCTACAATGTAGCTTTGCTGTAGGGCATAGCAAGAGGTATTGCTTCACCTGAAGACCTGGACTGATGGGGCAGGTCATGGAAAGATCAGTTGAAACCAAATATATAATTAGGCTTTGCCTAAAAAGGAGGTACAGAGATAATTATGTGTTTTGATCTGGTCACTTTGACTGGTTGTTCTTTTATTATCGTACTCTTCATGGTGTTCGCTTGTATGTGTATTTATGTGGGTGTGTAGTTTCTTTTAGATCAATGCCCGTAGATGTAATCTTCACATATCATTTCTTTTAATCCAGTTTACAGATGAGGTTTAACAGGCTTTTTAGGCAATAATTCAAAGTCCTCCTCTTCATTATAGAGTAACTTCAACTAAATGACCAGAGCCTGTGGTATTATTCTTCACCACCTGTACTATGAGGAAATGGCACTTAATGATTTCTGAGCAAGGAAAGATTGATGCATTGTAAAATATTAACCTTAGAGCATATTTACCTAACAGGCCAAGTTGTTGCAATCTTTCCAGAAGTAACGCTGCCTTGTCTCCAGTTAAATAGATAATTTACAGAAAAATGTTGCTTTCCTTTTCTATTATTCGACTTGATTTTTTGAAAGAGTGGTCTCTTATTGGCTAGATGGGTATGAGTTATTTAAGTATTGAAACATAATCTTTGGTTTGTTTGTTTGTTAATTGGACTTTATTACATCAGACATCCTTTTTGTGCAAATCTGCCATACATGCTGGAATCATTGCAGATGAAGTGGGTGGCCAGATCAATGTAGTTCAGTTGAAAGGAAAAAATCGGTATCAGAGTATCTTGGCCAATGGCATCCTTTCCCAAGAGTAAGTATTGTTTTGGTGCTTGACTTATGATATCCTTAATTAAAGCCAGGATATAGTAGTGTACAACACCTTTCCTTCTCTTTCAAAATAAGTCATAAATAAACTAGGAAGTCTAAATAACCATAATTTGATCTAAACCAAAATCATGTTTGTGTATGCTATCTTTAACATAATAACGAGATGTACAACTGTGTGTTCCCATACAAAGCTGTTTCCTTCTTTTTTTTTTACGCAATAGGTCTGCACCGCCCATAGCATGAGCAACTGTACCATATTGTCTAAAGTTAAATATTTTTCTGTTGTAATTAATGCAGATTTCCCAGTTTGCTTGCTAAATCGTTCAAAGAGAAAAGCCGATTGAGGGCATTAGCTTTGTTCAGTTTTCAGCCTATTAAATGAAGATATATGTGTCAAAATTCAGTCATTGATTGCCGAAGTGTGATATTAAACTTGCTCCTGAACTAAAAAGCAACTAAACTGCATTCATTACTCAGGGTCATTTGCGTAACCTCAGTACTACAGTTAAATAATAATAGGCATCAGATCTGTCACCATTACTCTAAATCAGAGGTGTCAGACTCAAGGCCCATGGGGCTGGCCTGCGGTGCCTCTGGTAGCGAAAACAGGCCACAGGAGAACCACATGTGGTCCCCCGGTGCCCTCTTTTGGCTAGTGGAGTGCTGCAGAAGGCATTTGTCCTGTCTCCCCACCCCCGGCCAGCCTGTGGAGGAGAATTACAATGCTGATCCAGCCCTCAAAGAAATCCAGTTTGACACCCCTGCTTTTAAGTCATGGAAAGAGTTCATTCTTTGAAATAGAAATGCTAACAATATCATTCATGAGTAAATAGCTTTGAATGGCTGGCTGGTTGATTGGTAAAGATAGACAGATAATACCAGTACACACAAACACATATGTATGACAATAGTTAACATTATGGTATCTTTTTTCTTGACAGTGGATCTCTATCAAACAAGCGATTTATTTTTAACTCAAATGGTAAGGAGTAGTATTATTTTGCTTTTTTTCTTAATAAAGCATAACTATTTTAATTAGTACTTCAAAGCTGTTATCATGAATATTATTCAGATATTACTCAAAACTAAATCCATTTACTTTGCTATCAAGTAGGTGTTTATACAAGTAATCCTTAATTTACAACCATTCAATGACTGTTCAAAATTATGATGGTGCTTGTTATTATCCTTGTCTGAAGTTATAGCTGCTTGCAACACTCACATAATCAAGATTCAGGCACTTGGCAATCTACCCATCCTTGTGATTGGTTGGAGGGGCACTGCAATTGCTCCTACCTATCTATTCCTCCACCCCCATTTCACTAGCTCACTAGCATACAATTCATTTAGTGTCAGAATAACATCATCTTTGGAAATCAAAACCTTCAGTTGGGGAATTTATCCAATTCTGCTAAATAATATATAAGTGCTTCTTATCAACAGTTAAATTCAGATGTTGGGTTCTACATTTGAATATAACATTAAAAATATCCAGGATAGATATCCTGTTGAGCAAGGCAAGTATTTTTCTGATTATAGTGTGTATAGTGAAAACAAAAATGCACATTCTTTTTATAATTTAAAGGTTGTGACACAGCACTGAGTTTAGGAGGTGGAGATGCTTTGAATATTCAGATGACCGCATCATCATCCTGGAATGAAATCAATGAAGTTGGGGACTTAGTTGAGTGGTCTCCTCAGAAAGCTTGGCTTAAAGTTCCTGGACCATCTTGGGCAGCAAACCAGAGTAACCATCAGCAGTGGCTGGAAATTGACTTGGGAGAGAAAATTAGAATTACAGGTCAGTTTGGAGACTTCCTGCTCAGTACACATGCCTTTAATACGTGCGCCATGATGATGTTGTGTACAGTTATAAAGGTGTGGCCTTTGCATCATGAGGGCACAACCACTGCTTTTTCATGTTGAGTGTTGGATCCTGCAGATTCTTTTGGGTCAATTATTCATGGAATAAAATTACTTGCCTTCTGTAATTCAGTGGTATGTTCAGACAGCATGGTAAGCTAGAACCATGCTTTCTATGGAATAAACTACATGTTGCTGCTTTGGGCTCAAACTTTCTCTTGGCTCTGATGCAAAACAAAGTGGCTAAATAAACCTAAATGGCTATGTCTCACAAGAAGAGCCCATGTTTGTGTATGTTCATGTTGTTTTGGTTGTATTTATTGCTGCATGTGCATTGAGTTTAGAAATTTCTCACCATAATGTTTTGCATCCTGAAGCTCTCTGTTTTTTAAAGAACTATATAAACAAATCTGGTACAGATAATAAAATACAAAGGTTCTTGCCTTGTGACAATTTCCCCTAGTTGCTAGCTAGTGAAATCTTTTATGCCTTATTAGTGGGGGTTGAACTATGCTCATATGTAAAATCACAATCCAGAATTTACATTTTTTTTCTTACTTTAATTTGTGGAAAATTGGGCTTCTTCAATGGACACATGTTTGTTTCTATTGATAGAAGGTATGCATGTAAACAAATGTTTTTAACAGGAACAGCAGTAGAAATGGTGATAAAATATAAAGCTAACATATTGCCTTTTTAAACTTTGGTCTCAGTATATTAATATTATTTGAAGAAAAGTTTAGTTTCATATTTATTTGTATTCTCTTTTTTTACATTACAAGGAATTAGAACTGCGGGGTCTACTGTGCTTCATTTTAATTATTACGTGAAGACATTTGTTGTGAACTATAAAAATAATAACACAAAATGGAGAACCTACAAAAGAATCTTAAGCAATGAAGAAAAGGTAATGCTGATTAGGTGATGGAGAATGGAGTGGGAACGGTGTTATTGAAGTTTTTTTTTCCTCCAGTGCTTTTTTTATGATTGAAGCAGCAGTGTTAGATTCAACAAAATCTTAAGTGCCCTAACAGGAGTGAAATAAAGTTTTTTTTAACAAATTGACAAAATTTTAAACTACACACACACATCCCAGAAAGGTTTGTGCTTATAAACCTATTTTTTCAAGGCAGTGCATGAACAGCGTGTCTGCCATTTTTAATAAAAATGTACAAAAGTTTAATAGTAATTTGTTTATTTAGGTGTTTCTATGCAAATTTAACCCAAAATGAATCTTGATGGCATTTCTTTACTAAAGTCTGGAGAGGAACCAGAATGAAATGGTTCCAAAGGGGTTGGTTTTCTCCCCAATTTCTTTCAACAGGTGGGAAAAGTCCCGCCTAGATATAATGATGCAGCCTTCAGTTTTCCAGATGGCTAGGTTTAGTGGTACATACTGTAGTTATCCTATAGACTTTATTACCATAAGACATAGCAATAGCCACTAACTTGGATGGCTTTAAAGGGGAACCGGATACATTCGTAGAGGATAGGACTATTGAGGATGAAGTTTTGAGTACTCCAAAGTTGACCACTATGAGAAACAAAATAGCTGAAGAAAATGGGCCTTGGCCCAAAACTGCAGGGCTTTTTGTTGTTGTGCTGACTTATTGTGCTAACTTGGCAGTTTGCTGCATCCAGGTTCAGATTCTTCAATTCTATTAAGTAGGGCTTCTCTATGCCAGACACTGCTCAAATCTGGGCAGTGACATAGAATTTGCTGTTAAGCCAGTCAAAAAAACCCACTCCATTTCTCATATTGTACTCATTGACAAAGCAGATTTAAATTGCTCAATTTAACCATCCTCTTACCATATTTCCATGAAAGATTAATTTGTGGAACAAGAATGTTATTTGTCTTTTATAAATCCCCATTTGTTCTGAACTTTCTCTTGTATCAATTATCCTGTTTTGTGTGTGTGTTTGTTATTCTTCCGTATTACAGGTATTCAAAGCCAACTCAAATCATGGAGATGTAGTTCGGAATAATTTTATTCCCCCTATAGTAGCTCGTTTTCTGAGAATTATTCCACAGACCTGGTACAAAAGAATAGCCCTGAAAGTGGAACTTATTGGTTGTCGAGCAGTCCGAAGTAAGCCATCTTTACACAGCTTGTAAAATGTAGAATCTCATTGTCCCACAAATGAGATGTTGACTTTTTTTTTTCCGTCTGTTTGTAGGTAACAGCTCTCTTATTCATCCACTCGGGCAAAGACCAAGTCAAAGCACAGGCGTTCCCACTAAAAAAGATGACCGATCAAGCACAGAATATATACCTTTAGTTGAAACCAACTTAGGTATGACAATCAGTGTGATCCTATGTATGTGAAATGGAGAAGAAAAGTTTTAGCAGTTGGGAACAACTACTCAAAAACAGTCACATCGTCCAGGGTCAGAGGCAGGCAGTTCCCATCCATCTCGTTCTCCCATCTACCCTCAAAGATACACATTTTCTGTATCTATCTGCTTTCGTCATATTTGCCTAGCATTCTGCTTGTGACCTCTGCTTCCTGAGCTGCTATCAATGCAGTTTGACAGGACATAGCAGACTTTCAGTGATATATTTTGCTTTCTTCAAAAATAAAATGGAAGAGGATGCAGACAGCAGTCTGTGATCCAATTATGGAGGAAAAAATATTGGGCATTTACACTAGCCATTTTTCCATCAACTTCTCTGATATATATATATGTATGTATGTATGTGTGTGTGTGTGTATGTGTGTGTGTGTGTGTTAAGTTTTCGCGGGTAGTTACATGTATGGCATTCAGCTTTGTTCAGAAGCCTGATGATGGCAGATGAGATTCTGCTGAAACGTTGCTACAACTTTAAAAGCACAACTATAATGACGTGGGAAAATACCCGAACAAAGCTGAATGCCATATATATATATATATATATATATATATATATATATATATATCTTTTTAAAGTTGCAGTAGAATAGCACGCCATCAATTTTGTTTTTGTAATAATACAAGACATGTACTCCTCTATATAACAATGAATGTGATCCTTGGTGTGCAGTGCAGCTCTATAGTCAGTTTTCTAGCTTTGTTTTCAGCGTATTTTAAATCTTGATTGATATTTTACATTTTTAAAGGACTGAATCTTATGGCTGTCATTATTCCAACCCTTGTGGTGCTTTTGCTGCTCCTGTTATTGGGAACCTGGATCTTTACTGCACTACGAAAGTAAGTGCCTTTTTTTTTTCCTCATTCAGAATTAGACACATGATCATTGTCATCATTTGAATAGGTGCAGCCCCTTGATTCATTACAATGTTTCAAAAGTAATTGGCAGATAAAATAATTCCAATGGGGAAAATATTGTATAATGATTTTATATATTCTTTAAACTATTGCATGTCTGATATCTCATTTAATTCCCAACAGTTTTAATTAGTTTAGTTTATCAGGCTTCCACACTTCTGATTCTCCAAGAAATGTGTGCTTTCTCTGTTTCCTTCTCTTAACATTCATCGCATACCATATATAATGGTGGATAAGCCCATTAACGAATATGCTGAGTCTTGAATTAGTATTCCAAAATACTATGGAAAATGTGGCACGCATGAATATGATGGTCCTCTCAAGTTTTTGAATGTTTTAATTTTTAGAATTGGTATATTTATGGATGGTATAATTTTCATAGTATTTTGTTTAAAAATTCCAGGGTTGGCTTATCCATCAGAATACACGGAATACATGGGTTCTTTTTTTTTAAAAAAAGTACTGCATATGTTGTATATGAAAAGGCCATCGGTAGATAAACCAAGCCCAATTTTGGTGGTGTATTTTGGAATCTACAATTCTTGGTTTATGCGTGAGAATATGTGATAATTATAAATTGCACTTAAGAAGAATGGGGCGAGCTGACTGTACAGCTTGACAAAGTGTGCCTGCTCAGAAAGTTCTTTCCACATTTTGTGGGCAAGCACAGCAGAATTAGCTCAGAATAGGATAGCTGCACTTGGTTTAGGCTTGAAAGAGAGAATCGTTTTTTTAAAAAAATGCACTCAAATCATTAAAGGAGAGCTGAGGCAGAGGAAAAACATTACGCTGAGCTTTGCTTTGTAATGAGGTATTGTGAATTCTGAACAGACAGAAAAAGTGGCTTATGAAAAAATATCCTCAGAGCAAGTATTTTTATTTCTGCCTCTCTCTTTCTCTTTCTCTCTTATGGACACACTGCTACATAAGACTATAGTTTGGTGATTGTTGGCCGATCATGGAGTGCAAACATATTTACAGTGAAATCTTGATTTAAACTATTGCTGTTTAACAAATTTTAGATGCAGCAGATCACATTTCAGTCTGGATGTCCGCTGACATAATGGACAAATACTCTAAATCAGGCCTGTCAAACTGATGGCCTCCGGGCCGGATACGTCACACACAGGCTACGTCAACCCTGGCTCCATAAAGGCAAAAAATGTTGCGATGCGTCACTATCCGGCCCATGATGTGATTGAATCTGACACCCATGCTCTAAATCCAAAGTAGTCTAGAGAAGAGAGTTATATTAATTTTACCTTAATTTTCAACATCTGCAAAGAGAGGTTCATGACCCAGATTTCCTTATGTTTTTACATTTCAATTTGCATATTACAAAAACAAAAATCACTGTGATTATGTACTGTACTTTTCATATTTAATAGACATTTGGGAGTATCCAATACCCCCTTCCTGCAAGTGGCCTATTAAAATAAGGTTTCACTGTCCTGTATCTTTTAACCATGCTTTCTTTCTGAATTATATTGTACATTACAATAAGCAAAAGAGAGAGAGAATTCCACAGAGATTCATGGAGATTGCTTTTTGAGTAAGCATATCGGGCTGCTGGTGAACAGGGAGAAAATTGTAGACATGGACACAACCTGATTGACACACTGAGTTGACGTCCTGTCAAATCATCTTACATTCCACTTTCCTCTTTGCCAAGCCATCTAGTCTTTGTGAAGAATGAACTTTCTAACTCCTCTTCACCCTGGAACCTAATGAAAGGAATAATATTACTGATGAGAACCAGCTCCTTATCTTAAGTAATCTTTTCAAATAAAGAATGAGTAGGCGCATTCTGCTGTTTTACCAGCACAAAATGATCCATTGGAATAGAAAGTCATACATATTGTATTATGCCACTGATTGCCTCAGCCATACATAGCCCAAGCTTAGATGCATGAAATGAATTATATTACTTGTAAACTATAGCTTGATCAATGGTACAAGTACTGATTTTGGAGGCTACATATTTTTCAGAGTAGCCTTGGTTTACATAAGACATTAAATAGATTACTAGACTATCTGGCTGATTAACAAACTAAAAATATCTACCTTTTTATGATGTGTGTCAGAGATTGGAAAAGAGATTCATCATAATGTCAGTTTTATTCTAAAGGTGCTAGACTAGGGCTGAGGAGACCCAGGTACAGACATTACCAACCTACTTATCAACAGATTAAGTTCTAAGAGGCAAGTCCAAACTAGTATTTTTAAAAAACGCGTGGTAGAGTATTTGGGTGGATCTGCAAACAGCATGCCAGAAACTAACCTTTTCCTGCCTTCCAGGACCTTTTAGGATGGGTTTGTAGACAGATTTGCTCATTTCTGCAAAAGTTTGCAACTTGAAAGTTCGTAAGTAGGGCAATATTTATACAAATTTACACTTAGACATGGTAGCTTACTGGGTGTCTTTGAACTAGTTGTTCTCTCTACTCCAACCTACCTGCAGAGTTCATGTGGCAATAAAACAGAGATCTCCATTTTAAGCTACTTTGAACTCATGAAGGAAATGCTATCGATTGAACAAATAAAAGGGGAAATTGTTAGCTTCTTGATTTGTTTGTCTAACGATGCTGTGAATATAAATAAAAATGATTTCAATCAAACCCCATACTTGGAAGTCTAGTGAAAATGTAGTACGAAAACTATGTATCTGACTTCTAAGAAAAATAACAAATTTGCCCATGATTTGTAGATTCTTGACAATATCCATAGTATATAATAAACCTGGGAAGACATAGGCCTGAAAATTCAGAATTGCCTGCTCTTTGGAATTTACCAAGTTAATAGATTCTGTGAAATCTATTTGAACTGAAGCAGGAAAAGTCTAATTTATCTTGTCCTTCCTTACAGAAAAGGAAAGCAAGCTACTACGTATGGTTCATCTGACACTGGAAAACCAAGTTAGTGGCAATCTTTTGTTTTTGTTATAGGACAAAAACAAGAAGGAATAAAAAATGTTTCCTGCTGATCAGTAATATCTTTTGGATTCAGTAGGAGGAATATCCTTGACTTGCTCCACCTTTCTCTCTCCTGACCCATGCATCATGTTTTATATATAGTGAGTTGGACATTCAGCGAGAGCTGGCACTGATATCTCTGATCTTGCTCATCCTGTTTTTCAACTTCTCTGACTGCTCTGTGGGAATCTGTGGATAGGTTCTTACATTTGTTCCCCTGCCATTTATGATTGCATGAATGATTTATGATGCTATACAACCACCAAGGTTTTTATAGAGCACTTTTTATGTATTGTGCTGCTGCTTTGACTCTCTAGCAGGGCCCGGCTTTGATCAGAACCAATGGCAAGGCCTAAATTTCAGCAGCACTAGGATTTTAAAGGCACATTTAAAATGTATAATATATATTCATGAGGGTACAAGAAATAAAGTGCTGCTTTCCACAGAATATTTTGTAGAGCTAGAAATATCATGTGTGGAAGCTGAGCTTTCGCTGGCTCCCTTGAGAAAATAATTTCCACACACTAGCTTTTTGCCATCTAAAAAGCAAAGTATAAACCTCCATTACTGTAAGAGATAAGAAAATTGTGTCCTAGTACAGGGGTCTCCAACCTTGGCCACTTTAAAGCTGGCTGAGGAACTCTGGGAGTTGAAGTCCACCAGTCTTAAAGTAGCCAAGGTTGGAGACCCCTGTCCTAGTAGAATTCCTGTCTGCTTCGCAGTTCAAAAGCATGCAAATGCAAGTAGATAAATAGGTATCACTTCGGTGAGAAGCAGCTGTCCCTACCCCTGGCCCATGGACTGGCACCAGTCCACAGCATGCCGGAAACTGGGCCACGTAAACCAGTGAATCCCCATCCATGGGATGCAGTCAGCATGTGAAACCACGCTCCTTCCACCCTGTGGAAAAACCACAGTCCCTAATACCCAAAAGGTTGGGGACCATTGGCATATAGCCATGCTGGCTACATGACTATGGAAATTGTCTTTGGACAGTGCTGGCTCCCTCAGCCAAGAAACTGAGATGAGCACCATGCCCAACCTTTACCTTTATCTTAAAATTCAATTCAAGTGGATCTTCAACATTTTAAGCCTTATGGAGATAATTTGATGGTGCTTAATGCTAGTAGTGAAGATTCTGTAAAAGCTACAATTAGTATTGCAATTGGTTTTCCAAATCATTTTAAAGGCAATTTTACGATAATCACTTAATAAATCTATATGTCCACAACTTACAAGTAAATAAATTCTATGAATGCAGTGCTTTAGATTAATTTACCTTTTGAGATTAAACATAGCTAGGATCTAAATGTCTAGGTTTCTGTTCTAGGTTTCTGGAAACAAATTCAACCACCCTTTGTCCGATATCAGTCTGCAGAATTCACCATCACTTACAATAATGAAAAAGAGGCACCCAAAGAGCTGGAACTGATCACAAGCGAGATGACAGGTAATTCTTTCGAAAACAGTTACAATTTCTGATGCTATAATTTGCAAAACATTTGATCTCCCTCTCCTTAACTAGGGAAAGGCAGTGTAGTTCACAGGGGATTGATTTATAACGATTTTTCTCTGTTCGGAAAGGCTTGCTTTCCTGCCCTTTGGCAAAGTTTTGCATGATTTAAAAAAAAATAACGTACAGGCAGTCCTTATGTTACTATCATTCATTCTGTGACCCATTCAAAGGCGTGTCCCAAAGGTGCTTTTCCAAAAGGCAACTGGACTTTCTTGGGTTTTTCTTTTGAACACGTTTTGCTTCTCATCCAAGGAGCTTCAGTTCTTAACTGATTGGTGGGGAATGGAAGGAAGGAAGTCCAGCTGCTTTTTGTAAAAGCATCTTTGGGACAACCATGACCTGGATGATTGAGAATCTCTGTAGGCATTCAGAGGCATGGTGCTGCTTAATAAATGGTAAATACACACACACACACACACACACACACGCACGCAAAGTTATGGCCATTACAGCTGCCTCATTCATGGGATCAAAATTCAGGTGCTTGCAAACTACAGAGGCACTTCAACTCCCCGCCCCCCTCCATCTATGACCCAGCCCCCTTTTGACTTCCCTGCATTCCACTGGCCCCGTCAGCCTGCCACACTGGCCTACTGGCTCTGACAGCCCTGCTCAGAAGCCTCCCAAAATCTCACAAGAAGCCTGCATGGGATTGGAACAAAGGCATGCACTGTGTGGCCTGTCAGCAGAGGCAGAAAAAAGACAGCAAAGATCAGATGGAGCAGTAAGGCCAGACGGGCACTGAACACAGGACAGTGGAGTACAAAGTAGCCAGAAGGACGCGATGGGGAGGGAGGGAGGGAGGTCAGAAGAATTGAAGAGGAGGAAGTCCCTTATCGTAACCAAGGCTCAGGGCTGGGAGGGATCAAGCTGGAAATGGCTTCGATCAGAGTAGGACCTTGGCTCAGAACCAGTGGGATTCAATTAACAGCAACCAGGACTGTTGTCATTAAGGACACAAGACCTCATGCTTGTAACAACCACATCCCTTAGAAAATTCTAGTCCCAATTCCTGTTGTAACTCGAGAACTATCTGCATTATCTTTTTAAAAAAAACATTGCTAATGTGCTTGTGTGTGCTTCTTTCCCCCCCAATTGCTTCCCCCATTGCTGCTAACATTTACAAATATTTATAAAAGGGTAGGAAGTTGACTAAAAGGGTTCCTTTGGCAAGAGACTGACACTTAAGCAATTACTATTCATGATTTGAGGGTTTGTTGAAATGTTCTAGATGTCATCCTTTAATGCATTCTACATTCATGGGGCTTTTGCAATTCACTTGCTCTAATGCAAGACACCCCATGAAACTTTGATCAGCTCAAACAAGCAGATGGGGAAGTAAAAAATGGATGGGCCTTCTTTCCATGCTTATTAGTATTACCCATGCATCAGTTCTCTTATTTGAGCTATATGCATAATCCAAAGGCAATTTCTATATAGGGGGGATAGAAGTTTGTTTGGTATCTCTTCCCACCGGGAGAAGAGACCACACTCAACTTCAGATATTCTAAACAACTTTGGAACTTTCTCCCAAAATTAATTTTATAGCTTTATGAGAGATATACAATCCTCAATCTTGCAGGCCCATTCCAGCAGCCACTGAAAACCTAGCAAAATTAACAGGTAGCCCTCGACTTGCAGCCATCCCTTTAGTGACTGTTCAAAGTAAGAACAGCACTGAAAAAAGTGACTTATGACTATTTTTTACACAGCCGTTGCAGAATCCCTACGGTCACATGAACAGAATTCGGGCACTTGACAACTCTCATGTATTTACAGATGTGGCAAAATAAAGGTCATAAAACGGGGTACATCTCACCACACAACTGCCCTGCTTAGCAATAGAAATGTTGGGCTTGATTGTGGTTGCAAGTTGAGGACTACCTGTATGCTTGCTAATGTTTGGTGGAGAAGGGATAGTTTGGGAAGCGTTTTTCAAAACTTGCTTTAAGCCAAAAAGAAGAAGAAGAAAAAAAAAGGTGGCTAAAATAACCATATTCATTTTTTACCAAATTTAATGTCTTCCGTTAAGGTTTTTTTTTTATCTAATTCACAGGATTTAATGCAAACTATAGATTAAATACAAACATTATCTTCAAGCATTTCTTTTATTAAGCTATCAAAACAGCATTGAATTTCAGTTCTTGCGGCCTTTCTTTGCAATTTCCAACTGTGTCCCATTGTTTCTTTCCTCAACTGTCTCGTGGATGGAAGATAATCACAGAAATTTGAAATATTTTAAACAGTATTTTTTCGCTACCAAAACATTTGCAAAGTGTTACCTGAATTTGTATGTTACTTATCTATAACTCTTAAGAACTCTACTTCTCTTTGGAGTTAAGAGAGACTGGTTAACGTTGCCTCTTTCAGATTGCCACTGTTTTTTGTCCCTAGTTGGTAGAGCATGGGTTCTTTCTTTCTGTCTGCCCTCTCTTTTTTAAGAGTCTTGCCCCAAGGCTGTCCTTAAACCTGCAACACTTCCGCTTGTAATCCTGCTGTCTCACTAAAGTTCATCAGCCAACGCTGCAAGGTTTCTTAGCCATCACTATTCATACAATACCAGTAGTTCTTGCTTAATGACAGTAATGGAACCAGAATTTCCATCACTAAGTGATGCAATGGTAAAGTGCATAGTCTCTGGTTACATCGTTAAGCGAATTACCACTGACTGTTAAGCAAGGATCTCACGTGACCCTAACTTCCTATTGGCTTCTCATTGATTTTGTTTATGGGAAGTCAGCAGGAACGGCTGTAGATACAGATACAGATAATCAGAGTTGGAAGGGACCTTGTAGGTCATCTAGTCCAACCCCCCACCCAAGGGGGAGACCCTACACCATTTCTGACAAATGGCAGTCAATCTCTTCTTGAAAGTCTCAACTGATGGCGCTCCCACAACTTCTAAGGGCAACCTGTTCCATTGGTTGATTGTTCTCACTGTCAGAAAGTTTCTCCTTGTTTCCAGGTTAAATCTCTCCTTGTTCAGTTTCCATCCATTATTTCTTGTCTGGCCTTTGGGTACTTTAGAAAATAGCTTGACCCCTTCCTCTCTGTGGCAGCCCCTCAAATATTGGAAGACTGCTATCATGTCTCCCCTGGTCCTTCTCTTCACCAGACTAGCCAAGCCCAGTTCCTGCAACCGTTTGTTGTATGTTTTAACCTCCAGTCCCCTAATCATCCTGGTTGCTCTTCTCTGTACTTTTTCTCGAGTCTCAACATCTTTTTTATAATGTGGTAACCAAAACTGGATGCAGTACTCTAGGTGTGGTCTTACTAAGGCTTTATAGAGTGGTATTAGTACTTCCCTTGATCTTGACTGTATCCCTCTGTTAATACAATTTAGGATTGCATTAACTTTTTTGGCTGCTGCTGCACACTCCTGGCTCATATTTAGCTGGTTGTCCACTAAGACTCCAAGATCCCTCTCACAGTTACCAAAATAGACCAGTATGTCAAGTATCCAGATTATAAGCATTGTGATTGCAGGAACTGAGTGCTGAAACTTGGAAGACCAATTGTTAAGTACCATTCATTCAGTGCCATAACAAATACACCAACGTACATCAAACTATTCAGGATTTAGCACAAAATAATGTGGCTGAATAATATTCAATCTAAACTGGAATTTGAAAGATGTTGCTTCTGTCTTCTGTCTAGATTATCATCAGCCCATCATGATAGGAACTGGGACAGTTTCCTGGCAGGGATCTACTTTTAAACCAATGGACACGGAGGATGAGAAAAAATGTCTCTCAGAGAACAAAAATCATTACAACCGCCCGCAAAAAAGAAATCACCATGATTATGCGCTACCTCTGACCAATCAGGAACCGGAATACGCCACACCTATTGTAGAGCGATGTACAGGAATTGAAAATGTTTTTTCTTCAGATAATTGCTACAACGTTCCTGCTGTTTCTTCTTTTCCTTCTGGAACTTTTCTTGCCTTATGCGAGGCAGATGGGAACAGTGGAGATTATAAAATACCACAAAACATTAAAGAGTATGATAAGCCTAAAACTAGTATCTTGCCCATAGTGGACTATAATACATGCTATCAAAAACCACAGGCCAAATCCCTGACAAATGAAGATTACTCAACACCTAGATACAACCTCAAACCAATAAATCAGACTGCAGTGACAGCACTCTTATAATCCAGAACTCATGAAAGGATCCAGGAAAAGGAAAGGACCTAAGAATACTGACATTCCTGCAGAATTTGAGTAATAGGCCAATTTTCCTTCTTTTCACCATGAGGAGCCTTCAGAATAAGGTCTGCAAGCAGTGGATTCTCTACAGTTGAGTTGTTGGTGCTCCATTTAATACCGTGCAATGTGTACATACAGTTTTAATTTTTTAAAAAAGTAACTTAAATAATTTGTTATCTCTCTTGTTAACAAATGCACTGATTTCTAGGTGAGGCAGCATTCTAAATTGAGATAATGCTCATTCTTGGAAGATCTTATTTAGAATGGATAGTTAAATATAAAAAACAGACATGTTTAAACATTTTGCACTTCCCATAAAGTGTTTTGCAATTTATGTAGGTTGCGTGATAGCAGTCCTTTTTAATTTATTCTTGATGGTCACTTGGAAGATAAGGTACAGACCTTCCATGATTAAAAGAACAATCATTGCTCTAAGATTTCCATGGGGGTTGACTACATGTTAGCAAGTTTATATTCAAGAGTGGCAAGAATTAGAAAGTTTGTTTTTAAATGAAAATTTAGATTCTCAGGGAATAGAATTAGACACAACTTCAGTAACATGCTACGTTCCTGTACTCTCTCAAAATCTCACAGATGCTGTTAGCATCTAAACATGAGTGGCATGTATACTTGGACCAAATCTGTCTTGTTTTCCATTATAAGCAAGATATGCTTATTTCTTCTTTGGGAAATATGGGGAAAAAATAAACTGCCTACCAAAGTTATGTAAACTGCTACCTTTGTTCTTTTGGGGGGTGGGCGGGGGGTGAGGGTGTGTGTGTCTCCAAGTCAGTTTTTTACTACTGGCAATTGCCTGGACTAATCTGAAGTTTTCTTTGTGCTATTTCAGAAGTGGTTTGGGCCTTGTCTACTTCTTGGGACTGAACAGAGTGACTGGCCCAAGGTCACTCAGTTGGCCTCATGCTTAAAGCAGGATTAGAAATCATGGTCTCCTGGTTTAATCTTTCATCTTAACCATGATACCAGTTTGGTTCTTTCACCTTTATTCTCTTATGTTAGTTTTATTCTTTTCAATATGTGTAATTTTAGTTATATTTCATATATAAAATCTATGTCAGAATGAACAGAAAGCAGTATTTTCAAATCTATTTTTGCAGCAATTCAGAGCATATACAAAGTTGCAATTCAGAGCATATATATATTTATAAATCCCAGACTATTTCTGAATAAATATACAAAAATGGGTGCTAAACATTGCTTTCATGTGATAAAAACCTATATTTTGTATGCAGAATGTTATGATTCAAGTTCTTAGCAGCTGAAGCTTTAAAAAAAGATTAATCTCCAGATTTGAATGGCAAAATGTCATTCAAGTTGCATTCATTAACAGGTGTTTGGAATGTCTTAAACCATATGCATTTTTTGTCAAGAAGATGCCACAGCTATAGAGTGCAGCAACCTGCTTTGGTGTATTCTATAGATTCAATAGAGACTCCAAGCTACAATCATATTTTGCTCTTCAAATCTAGATCTCTGGCCATCTCTATAGATTATGGCTGTGAGAGATGATAATTTAACTAAGAACTCAGCCCATGGGAATTCGCTGATGCCTCTGTTGTGAACCATGTAAATTGAATAAATCATGAGTGTTGTTTGAAAGCATGCTATACATTTGGTTTCTCCTCCAAACTTTTGGGGAACGTAATTTTCAAAATTGTATATACAAAATTGTACAGTATTATCCAGTCAAGAAATCTTTCTATAAAACAAGTAGATACAATGCAATGAGAAAATTTCCAAACAAAGGTAAGCTGTGGACCATCTCCATTAATTCAGAGCACAGAACCATTATAATAAAGGATAGGTCACAGCAGACGTAAATAACATTTGGTCTGCTAGAAGACATCTTTGCTCAGCTAAATTGCTTTAAAATCTGACGGGAGCATTCTCCTGGCAGTTTATCTACAGAGGTATTTTATTTTTTGGCCCATTTATGCACTGTACAATCTTTGGAACTATCCTCTGAAATAGTACCGTATTATTAGCTCAATGAAACTGCACTGCTAATGTATTTTTCTGGCCTTGCATATTTCTGCATCATTTAGTCAGAGTGACACTAAAGCCATATTCCATTAAAACAGTGGGGGGAGAGGGGGTAGGAAATTCAATAAATAAGACCATGGTGGGGAAAAACTATCCCCGTGAGGCTGGACAATACTATGTAAGTGCATCAGAAGTTTCCATATGCGGAAAGATCGTCTTTTATTTCTTCCTTGTAGTACAATCATGAAATATTCAGTGAGATACAACAGAGTGACTGTGGACTAGATAGATAATCTTAAGTGCTTCTTATTCCAGTTCCCATTTTTTAAAAGTCAGCTGTTCTCCACTGATGTACTTCTCTGAGAGACAGTGCTAAGAGCCCATAAATGGCAAAGAATATGAAATATTTCTCCTTTTTAGCAGTCAGATAGGAACAACCACCATTTTGGCAAAATCAAAAAAACAAAACATGGCAAGTGTCATGTTGTGATGATAGGACAGTTAACTAGTTCTGCCAGGTTACAAATAAGCAGTGAGACAATTTGATTAAGGATTTACTTCTTGAGATCAAATCCTATGCTTCAGAACCTTTATAAACAATTTAGCTACATGTTAAATTCTGAGCTTTGCTCTGGGTTTTTTTTTTAAATAAGACAAAGTGTACTGGAAAATGAATGTTTGGACTTGCAAACCTTGACGTTATACAGCCAAAACAACTGCTCACAGGCACCAGATAATGTAATGACCCCTGCTCATGCATTTTATCTAAAACTGCAATCATTTCAACGTAATACATGAACGGGCTTTTGGTGTTCTTTGTAATTCCTTGATGTAGTGGTTAAAGTGCTGACCTAGAAACCAGGAGATTTGAGTTCTAGTCCCGCTTTAGGCATGAAAGCCTGCTTGGAGTCAGTCATTTTCTCTCAGCCCAACCCATCTCACAGGGTGTTGTTTTGGAGAAAACAGGAGGAGGAAAGAATATTATGTATGTTTTGCTGCCTTGAGTTATAATGAGCTGTTTGACCTACTGTTTGACATTAAATCTTTTAAATTGACTGTGGCTCTACTAAAATATACATGCAGTAGGCTGTGATTTTCTCAAAGGATGTATTTTTAAAAATAAAATACTGTTAAAGCCCAAGTTATCATAATGCTCAGGCAGCATCCAGTCAAAAACAATGATAAAGTATATTAAAATCAGTATTCCCTTGACCGAGAACAGCAGCTTCAACACATCAAATCAGAGCTATAAAATAGTACTGCTGCTGGCAAATGTCAAACATTTGGCATTTACATGAAATATAATGTAGTAGCACACAAGAAAATTGTATTCACTCAACTTCCTTTACCAGGTTACTTATTATATGAGAACCAGTCTGCCTAGTGTTTAGCACCAGACTAGAAACAGGGAGACCATGATTCAAGTCTGGCCTTAGCCCTGAAAGCCAACTGGGTAATGTAGAGCCAGTCATTCTCTCTCAGCCCAACTCACCTTACAGTTTTGTGGGGAAAATAGAAAGAAAGAGTAGTAGATCTATTGAGTTGTTTGTAAAAAAATAATAAAGGCAGGATATAAAATGAGTGAGTGAATGTAACAATGCAAGAATCAAAATAGGATGTGCTATGTTGCTGTGAACAAATGATTGAAGAAGTCTAGCTCAAGATTGATATAAAATCAGGAATACCTGCTTGATGTGCTTGTACAGGAGCACAAAGCAGTGTACATAGGTCTTCCTTTTGTTTGTCCCAACCTGCTGGGATGAGAAATAGCAACTAGTCCAAAGTAATCCAGTGAGCTTCCATGGCTGAGGGTGGACTAATCTGGATGTCCCTGCTCCTATTCCAACAACTTAGTCACTATACCACACTGGCTCTATATACAGATAGGTACTAACTGTTTTATAACAGTTGATTATATTAACTATCTAACTAAATTTAAAAAACCCTAGATAATAGGGTGCCAACACTCTGATCAAATCCCTATTACCTTTACCAAAACATGATGAATGTGTTAAATATCGCACGATTTGTGGAAGGCAAGAGAGTCCCTCTGGCTTCTCTAGTTATGCATATCAATAATGCATTTGCAATGCCAAAAGACTGGAATAGTTCTTAGTATTGTGCCATTTCTTGATAAAGATAACAGCAAGGGCCTTCCCATTATCATTTGATTAGCCTCCTAAGCATTCTGTGCATCCTAAACTATAAATTATATACACCCTTTCTGTTTTATAAGCTTCTGGATGGGCTAGAACAGGAGTGTCAAACTCGTGGCCCGCGGGACAGATGTGTCACTCGCTGGCCATGCCCACCCCCTGGTTTAGCGAAGGGGGGGAAAGTTGCGATACGTCACATGACAAGATATCATCGCACATTTGACACCTCTGGGCTAGAACGTGAGAAATTTCTAGTCAACAAACAAGAAAGCCTTGGGAAAAGACAATCAATTGGGGACCAATGTGCTAACCTACGGTTTGTAGCACAGCACTACACAGATATCTATACCAACTCCCTGTATGTTGCCTTTGCTGACTGAAAATCAATCTTTGATCCCCTCCCTAGAGAAAAAAACCATTTTATTACTCTATAATCAGAAGTTATTTTGCTAATTAAATTGCTGCAGGGAAATACAGTTATGCAAGTCAGCTGCGATAGCAGCAGCTAGCTCTCTGCAGATATCTCAATCCGAAAAGTGTGAAATAGGGTTGTATTCTGCCTCCCCTACACACACATCTTTTTCAATATCTGCGTTATCAAAATCTTCACCACTTTAACCAAAGCAAAATTCCATTCTCCAATGTAATAATAAATAGCTGTTTGTACTTTTCAATGCTGCTGTGATGCGGTCATCATTTCTCTAAGTATGAAAAGTGGAATATGGATCATAGCGGATTATTCGAGGGAAGAACTAAAACTTTTTTTTCTAATTGATCTGCAGTGATTTATGTCTTCATACTACTTTTAAAAAATGTAACTTTATTTGGACAAGAATCCATAAAATAGTTTGATGTATTAACACTGCTCTAGGAAGGAGGGGAAAAACCCTAAATTACAACATAATAGAAACATATGTTTGGTAACTGTACATCTACCCAGTCAATTTCCTGCTGATTTAAAGATGGGTGTGCAAATTTATTATACTAGCATTTTAATGAAGAAAACAGCTACTGTATGAAATATGGAATTCCTGCACTTATAGTACAGGATAGTCCCTCACTTAACAATCAGCCACTTAGTGATTGGTCAAAGTTACAACAGAACTACTTATGACAAATTTTTGAAATTGCGACAGCCACAAATACATGGTCACACATGGTCACGTGATCACATTTTGAGCACATGGCAACCAGCTCACATTTAGAGCCATTTACAGAATCCTGTGATCAAGTGACTGCAATTTTTTACCTATTTGTAGCATTTACTCCTGTTTCCAGCAAAAAGTGCCCATTAGGGAAACAGGGTTTTCTTAACGACCACTACAAAAACGGTTGTAAAATCAGGCATAGTCATGGGGTGACCAGCTTAGCTACTGGTCCAATTTACAAACATAATTGCAGGCTCAAATACAGTTGTAGGTTGAGGACTATCTGTAAGATGGAAAATACATTTTTTCACATGCAACTTCATATCCCAAGAGGCAACTGGAAAAAAACCACTTTGGGACATATGACCTGAATGATTGAGATTCTCCATAGACATTTTAGCAACTTCATACATTTTACAGTCTCGTTGCCTAACTGAAAATCCTGGCTTGTCTTGGAAATAAGTGTTCTGGTTAAGATAATTTTAACAGTGAGACTTCAATAGGGCAGCAATCAAAATTTACTGCAAATTAAATACAATTCCATGAGCAAGTGAGTGAAATGATGCGCAAAAGTTATTTTATGAGCAACATTATAAATGGCAAAATATTTGCATACAGTATTTACATTTTAAAGTTCTCTATAAACATGTATATAGTGCACCTAGAAGAGACATATTTAACTGTGTTCTAAAACACAACGTTTTAAACATTGAACATAAGGTTAACTGACATTACATTAAAGGCATTTTTATATGTTCTCCATTTATGTACAGTCGATAGAAAAAAAACACTTACAAAGTTTCATGTTACATTATTTCCACTCTCAAAATACATTTTTAAATATTACATTTCAATTGCCTGCAAGAAAGTGAATGGAAAGCAGGCATTTCATGCTTTATCCTATAATTTTAAAAGAGCTACATGGTTTTTAACCATTTGCATACAGAGTGTGTGCAGTTTTAATAAGTCACATATGTATACATTTATATGTGGGTATGTGGGTGTGTAGGTATGTATACACACATGTACCCAAAACACACACGCACACATACACAGCAGTACAAGAATTTAGCCAAGACAACCCCATTAATACCAACATATTCTAAAAGTGCCTTGAGCGTTTTCAGGTTTTGGAACATTTTGAGGTTTTTTTTAAATAATACCAAAAATATAGTTCTGTGAAGTATCAGGGCTTTAATCATTTTTCTGCTAGTCCTGTATGGACCTCACAAGATACAGAAAATGCTTGACTCTCCCTTTTCAGAGATGGCTCATGTAAACATCTTCACATAGTATGACATGAGTCACTGATGGCCTTGTGACTACTGATCTGAATCTGAGTAGTGATTATTAATCTCCCATCATCATCATCAAAGTAGAGAACTTCACTTACAATGGCCCTACTCATGGAATGGACTGTTAGCTTCTGACAAGACTGCTGCTATAATTTTGTCTGCAATGTATGATCAGTGCTTAACAACAATCTATTTTGGAGATGACTTGGGCAAAGATTACATGGCCAATTACCCCACATAAACTGATGACCAGCCATTAACTGATAACTTACAATGAGGCAGTGCTGCTTACTATGTGCCCAATAAATTGCCTCTTAGGTGCCCAATAAGTAACCTCATGTGAACCTACTGTTAGTAGCAAATTTAAGTAGCTTTTCCTCATGCCGTTATAAAAATCGCCCCTCCCCGATAATAACTAAGAATACAATCGGATAGATTGTGAACAGAAACTGAACGATCAGTTTGTAGTTATCTACAATATGATCAGGAGAAAAGTGAAAGTGAGCCCTTGGAGCAGTCCAGAACTAATTTAAGTGAGCTACATTTGACAATTTTAGAAATAAACTAGAATTACTAATCTATGGAACACTGAATTCCCTCAGACAAGCTAGTTCCCATATGACATATGCAGTGATTATAAAGTTATTGAGCAGTAGGATGAACAACTATATGAATCCGAGCTTATCAGCTCGGAGAAAATGGACACTTGTACAATTTTAAGGGCAAACTTAAGTAAAATAAGTTCATATCACATTTAGTGTTTTTTTTTTAAAAAAGTTACCATAATATTCTGCTTGATGCTTTAGGGATATATTCAAATCCAGCAAGAATATTTGAAAGGAAAAAACTAGATATTGAGAGCTAAGTAAGAATTACTTCCAAATAAATAACTGTTATTTAAAATCTTACATGTGCATATTAAAGCAAAATATATATTTATTTTGAATATTATGAAGTTTGGGGAGGTTGGGTCTTTTTTGTTTTTTGTTTACTTTTCGCCTTCCTGCAAGGTGTATTTTTAAACCATTAGCCATTTTTATTTGTTAACTGAAGCCTATTTTATTAGCAAATGGATAGCATTTTATTTGTTTTTGGTATATGTGAAAGAAATCAAGCATTATAGCTCCTTTGCATCTTTCTATACTTGCATTCATAGGTACAATCCAAAATGGACTCAGGACAATACTTTGGTGCTAAAATTCATGGACAACTTTTTAGAAAAGTGGGACATTTTGCACATTTAGACTTGTTCATAATGAAGCCCTGAGGTAATAAACCAGAACAGATTTGTTTTACAGACAATGGTAACACAGTGTCTCTTTACCTTATGAACAGTCCTTCATTGTAACTTTCTGTGGCATTTATCATATAGAACAGCCCATGAAACCCATCTTAAAGGAGATACTAGTCCCATTCAGAGGGGTTAGGCTAAGCTCTCAGAAGACTGGGCTAGTTTAGATACAGTCTCTTCAGTTTCAATTGTATTCCCCAGGTCTCCATTTTCATGGCCATCAATACTTGCTTTCTTATCAAATACTGTAAGAAAAAAAATAACACACTGTAGAATGAAAGGAGCAACTTTTTTTTTGACAATGATCAATGTTGCCAATATTTGGTCCAAGCACCAACTGTCTAAGTTAACAGAAATCCCCAAAGGAAAAAAGAAAGAGATACACATATACTTTAATTTTGAGATTCTATGGAGGACATATAAAGGCACTGTTGATGTTACAGCACCCGAAAGAAGTTGCAATGCACTGTAAATTTTAAGATTTTATAATGAAAAAAGATCATCATTTTTGTTTCCTGAAAAAAAAAGAAAGCTTGTTGCACTGCTGCTTTTAAGAATATATAATTTTAAGAATTCTGGGAAAAGGATTATTTATATATAGAGAAAGAACAGAAATGATTACTGCCATTCTGATGAACTCTTCTTTCTGCAATTTATCAACCATGTTGTGTTACTGAGGTGGCAAAACCTTTCTAAAGACAAAGAATCCTAAGTGTAATTGGCAAATAAATTTAGTAACATGCTGGGTTTATTTTAATTAACGTTTACCAAAACAGATATATGAAAACCAGAATAATTTCATCTAATAATTTGTTCTAGTTGACCTTTATCTGTGTTTCTTTAAGCAACTTTACCTTGTAATGGTTTATCTCCACTTCCATCTTTTCTACCGGAAGCACAATTGCTACCTTCTTCCAATTCATCAAGATACAAACGATAACGATGTCCGCTCTCATCCTCGTATTCTACGTTTTCATCATCTGAGTCTACTTCAGGAGCAACATATACAACTTCAAATTCGATTTCTCCTCTCTAGAATACAAAATGAAAATCATCTTGCTGCTGAAAAATGGATAATCTGATATAGAAAGAAATGGAAGAAATCCTGAGTAGTCAGTATAAAATACACCACAATCATTTTATACGTGGTTCTCCAAAACAGGGGTGCCAAACTTGTGGCCCATGGGCCGGATGCATCACGTACAGGCCACACCCACTCCAGCTCTGCAAAGGGAAAAGGTGGAGAAATGTCACGTGACAACAATGTGATGCCGCGAGTTTGACATCCGTGCTCTAAAAGAACAAAAGCAACTGAATTTTAGATGTTCATGTCCACCACGATGAGCAAGATATAAGCAAAAAAAAAAAAAAGTAGAATTAAATGTGCACATCATCTTTTACTCTTCTGCTGATGCACTGATTTTCCCTGCTTAATTTAAACATCAAGCAATGGATGTTTAGAACCACAGAATGTAATATAATAGCAAAGGGGAAAAAAGGGTAAGAAAGATTAAGTTGCAAGATGAGACGTCTTGAAATAAATAATTATACAGAATTTTCATTAACAGACTCATCAATGGAATAAGACATGTTTAAAAAGAAACCTTTTTTTGGTTATTCTGAATTAAAAGCCAGAAATGCATGGATTGTTGCTCAGCTTTACTTCTGATCTGTGGGAATATTTGGAGTGATATGAGCAGTATGCATAAAATTTATTTATTTAACTTTTATATAGCCCAATCCCAAGTTTCTGGGCACTGTATAAGCAATATAAAAAGGATTCAGTTAAATCTTACTGTGTCAGCTACAACTCCAAAAAACATATAATCAGATGCTTGTTTGGAAAGTTTTTCAGACTTTCTTGAATGCCAGAAGCGAAGAGGTAAGGTATGTCTCCGATAGCTTCATATTTCCATAAATATTTAAGACCTTTCTTTTCCATGGGAAGCTTGTCTCACCACCATCCCACTAAGACCAAATTATTCAAAATAATTTGTTCATGAATTATGGTAAACCAAAATTTCAAGAATTTGGATGATTATGAAAAAACAATAATATACAAATCTCAATCCTGTTTACTTGACTTATCCGTTCAGAAATAGATTAATAAGCTGTAAATTCCATCTGTGGCAGGGAGAGAAAGTGTTCTTGAAGGATAGGGGGAAGAACTGTTACCAAGGCAACAGTAATATAAAAGGGCAGGGCTGGGCCAAGAAAGTAATGTGAGAAAACATTTCCGTCAAGTTCCTCCTTAATTCACATGAAAATAAAGGGAGGGAGGAGGAAACCATTCAGACCTGAAAGATTGATGTCAGCTCTACAAGATAGATCATATTTAAAAAAAACAATGTCATGTAGATCAGTATTATATTTACTGTAACAGAATTTTGCAATTGGAGAACCTCCTGGGATAGAGTAATTCAAGAGTTCTTGGAAATTCTACATTCACAGATGCATGTAGTAATAGACAATTATCATTGTCCATAATTAGAAAACGTGGTAAATAAAAAAATGCCTCAGATGCTGAAACTGAAAATAAGCCTTCTAGTATCCTTATTCCAAAAGAATAGGGGAAATCTATGTATAGTATCTGAACATTAACATATACAAAATTACCTGTTGCGAAAGAATAGTTACAGCCTCTTTGTGTTTGGCGTCTCTCAGATTAACTCCATTTACTGCCAGAATGGCATCTCCAACATGCAGACCTCCACATCGATCAGCAGGTTGACCCGGATGAATTTCAGAGACCAAAATGGGAACACCATGCTCCTTTCCTCCCTAGCATGCCAATATTTAATACGTCAAAAAGTCTTCATATAAATCAGAATTCTTTGCATTAAGGTTTTTTTTTAAGTGTAGAATTTATATTGCTTTCTATTCAGCAAAACACACTAGCATAATTGCTACTCAGTATTGAATGCATGACACAATTAGGAAAGCTTTATATTTTTATATGAATTAGAAATTCTGCAGTTTTAATTATAATTTAAATATGGAACATTAGATAAATAACATAGGCTAGTATAACATGAAAGACATGCAAAAGGATATAAAAGAAATTTTAAAAAAATCATTTCTGAGAATAGAAAAAAAGAAAATGAATTTAAATATTACTGTAATTGAAATGCCTAGTCCTTCATGATCTTCTTTAACCAAGAGAACTTTTCTGATTGGACCAACACCTTGGCTCTTCTTTAAGGAATCTGGATTCTAATTTAGAAATTAAAACAATATGAAAAAGTATAGGTAGGCTTTTGACATAATTATAAAATAGCAAATAACAATTCACTATCTTTTTGTTTACTCTAGCTTTATTTAGATACTGTATGTTCAGAGTCATTATTTTTAAGAATTTAGTAAGTAGTGCTCTAATTAACTTTCTGCTTAAGAATATAAAAATAAGGTGCCTACTTAAGATTCTTACAAATATCAATTGTTCTACGTTTTATCTAATTTATTGGATCAAATATATGGATATACTCAATATGAATCATCAAAAGCCAAAGTATACAAAAACAAAACCTAAAATCAACTTACATGCCCTGGGGGTGCTTGCATGGGTCGTTTTAGATCGTTTCGACCTCGGCATGCCCTGATTACAGTTTTGTGCCGGTGCAGATGGATTTCAGCTTCTAGCTGGTTCCAAAGTTTGTCATGGGCAGGTCCTTTCATATCTCTACCCAACAACTGAATTTGTTGAACCCTGAAAACAAAATGTGATATATGTCAACCCTGAAGCAACCTGGGTGAAGCCATCTTGGAGCTTCAGTGTTGCCACACTAGAGTGAAGGATAGGGAGGGGTGATTAGAGATAGCTGGGTTTGTGAAGGCAAAATAAAATACTTTCTCAAGACTTTCTCCTGGGAATGAAGGACATTTTCACACCTGGCAGAAGGAAGGAAAAGTGATGTCACCAAACCAGCGGGCGCTGCAGTGATGGGGCCATGTGACTGATTATTTGGGGTTGAGGGGAAAAAAATTATTTTTAATTAGGTGAAAACCAAGGGGGCCTTCAGAGTTAGTTTTCACCAGATATGTGCCAATAGGATATTTCCAATAAAGCTTTTCTTTGAGGACTTCACCTGCCTTGGAGATTTTGCTTGCAATGGATTTATTACTTGGAACCCTATCTTCTTCTATATACACACACACATATACATACGTACGTACATGTGTGTGTGTGTGTGTGTATTAAGCTATCTTACACTTTCTTATTCTTATAGTCAGACCTTACCTTGTAATTAATATTACTACCATTACAACTGCAAAACAAGGCAGGCAAAACAGAGGAAGCATTAACAATAGTTTTATTCAGAATCACATCAGCAGGGAGGAAAGTGGAGGTTTGGAACAGAGGTCTTCAAACTTGACAACTTTAAGACCTGTGGACTTCAACTCCCAGAATTCCTCCCCCAGTCATGTTAGCTCAGGAATTCTGGGAGTTGAAGTCCACAAGTCTTAAACTTGCCAAGTTTGAAGACTCTTGGTTTAGAATAAAGGAGTTGGCAATATTCTGTGCAATTGTCCAATTGCTTCCCTCAAAAGGAAGCACTGGGGAATTATATTTTTTTTAGAAAGTTTTCCCCCCACAGATATTAACCCGATTCAGCCCATTTTTCAAACTTCTTTCTTTTGCCATTTTCTCCCCCAAATTTGGGCCTCTGTTTGATGTATTTGTGCTAAAAGGCAGCTGACCAGCTAGATAGTGGAGCCTGTCCTCCTCATGTAATTTATTTCTGTTTTGCTGGGTTGCAAAGAATGAAAAGGGCCATCAGACTATTTCACAGCTAAAACAGTATGTTCATGGTCTCATCTCTTTAAGAGACAACTACATATTCTATTACCACAGATACTTTTAAAATAAGCCCTTAATAGCAAATCCTTCCATATTCCTCATGCATTCTCATAAATACTATATGTTAAGTGTTGTTGTTAAATATACCTTCCAGCTAGTTCTTTATCTAAATATTTAGCTGCGAGTCTGGCTCCATATACTTCAGCCTGAAGCACAGCTATGTGTCGACGAAGAGCCTCATTTTCCTTACGGAGCAATTTCACTTCAGCTTCAAGTTGGGCTTCTTTCACCTTTTCTTTCTTGCTGGCTTCAAGTTCTCTCTCCTGGAAAAATTAAACAAGATCCTAATAACTTTCATAGCAAATTTAACAGCCTCCCTCTATAGACATGAATAGTACTAACACATCAGTGGATTGTTGTTGTTTTTTACAAAAAAATTCATATGACACAAAACTATGCACAACTGAATACTGTACTTTTTGACAGTAAAAGCTCTTTCCTAAAAAAAAAAATACATAGTAAAACAGTTTTTCATCTAAAAATAAAAATCTGCAAGCCTCCACAAAATGTTCGATAATCTCGCTGCCAATTTCTCTGTATAACAGAAAGCAATTTGGCAGAAAATCTAAAAAGCTTTTTGTTTAAAAATAAATAGCTATCAATTATAAACATGTGCCCCTTAAATATGCTGGGGGGGCGGGGGGAGTTGTTCCTGAGAGGGATGAGTGAAGTCATTAGCAGCGTACACCAAAAGTGTTATGTTCCTAACATAGACACCTAAAGCCTGAAGGTCATTCTAGCTGCCCAACTAAAGGAAGCCGGGTGCCTACATTGAGCTGCAGAGATACGAGAAGACACTGGAGTTAGGTGATAACATTCGTGACAATGGCAAGATGTAATTTAACACTGCAAAGGAGAATGCAATGGTAACCACTCCTGCATTTTACCAAGAAAACCACATGGTAGGCAATATAAAATGACTGGTAATATAGCACCAGATGATGCCAGACATCTAGTTGCTGATGCTGCCCGTGCAGGAAAAGAAAATCTAAAACTGCAAAGACAAAATTACACTGGGAAGATGGAACATAAGCATAATCATGGGGGAAGCACAACACAGTGAAAGATCCACACATTGACATCCTTGGTATCAGTGAATTAAAATAGATTGGAATTAGACACTTTCAGTCGGAAGATCATATAATTTACTTTATGATATAAGAAACTTGAAAAATAAAGGACACAAACAACAAATAAAGAACAGCATTGCTTTCAAAATCGAGATGGCTATGGGAAAGAGAGTAAGGTAAGAATGCTGTCAATGATCAAATAGTATCAATTAGATTTCACAGACAATTTTTAATAAGACAATTATCCAAATCACTGCTGCAGCCACTGATGCAAAACAAAAGATTAGTGAATGTTATAGACAAGTCCAATCTAAAATTGATAGAACATGCCATAAGATGAATTGCCTATGATGGAGACTG